GGGGGGATAACGCGTTCGTAGTGAATACTTGCAGCGCGATGCAACCACAAACGAGCTGGTCGACCCCATCTTGGTTGATTTGTCAAACCTCAAGCCCTACACCAATTACACGTTGACCTACATTGCCCACAATGAGCTGGGTGCCAGCCTAGCCGCCCCGCCCCTCTCCTTTCGTACCCTTGAGAGTGGTAAGAGCAGGCTGGCCATGTTTCATGTTTTCTCATTGATTGCGAATGCGCATAAAGTCCTCACCTCAGCTTTGCTCAACTCTAGTCCCGGAGGCGCCTGCCAGCATCAGCTTCCTTGGTGCCACCAGCCGTACCCTCAACCTGAGTGTCACTGCTCCTGCTGTGGCCAATGGCGTCTTGATTGAGGCAAGTTGATTCCACGCCCCAGCAAGCCGTCCGACCGTTTTGCCACATGTGGCTGTCCACTTCCGTCTGACTTTGTGCGCCACACTCCCTTGGTTGGGTGTACCAACCAATGTAGTTTGAATTGGAGCTGTATACTATGGGAGGCTCCTTTGTTAGCACCCTCTCCGGTGATTCGGGTCACTTTATGGCAAGCGGTCTTGAGCCATACACCACCTACAGCGTGCGTGCCCGTGTGGCCACGGCCATTGGCAGCGGTCCCTGGGGCGGCAACTTTACGTTCGCCACACTTGAAGACCTTCCGAGCAGCAGCCCGACTATACTCAGCGCGCAAGCCACGTCCAGTAGTCTGAATGTGACGTGGGCTGCGCTGAGCACGGGCACTAACGGCATCATCACAGGCTATGCTGTCTACTTGGACGGCGCTTCCGCTTGTGTTGTGACAAATCAGTTTTGGTGTGAAGTCACTGGCTTGAACCCCGGCACCACACATACGTTCCAGATTGCAGCAGCGACCAGTCTGGGCTACGGTCCCAACAGTTCATCTTATCCAGTGCAAACTTTGCCAGCCGGTATGTGCTCATCCCCACCTCTGGTCCAAAGCTCGTGGGCCATGTTCGTTTGTTTGCAAAGCATCCTGCTCACTTGTGTCAAAATGACTCTGTCATGACAATGGCTTTTACGCGTAGCTCCTGCGGGCATGCCCACCCCCATGGTGAGCAACGTCACTTCGACAACTGCTCGGCTGCAATGGACGACACCGGCGCAGCCCAACGGTGCCATCATCAAGTATATTGTGACAGTCACCTCCCCAACAGCCTCCAATGGCACTATTGAGCTACCCGGAAATCAAATCGCATATGAACTGATTGGACTCAAGCCCCACACGGTCTATCACGTTGCAATCCAGCCGTGGACTTTGGCGAGCCCTGGCAATTTCAGCAGCCCCATCGTTTTTACGACTCAAGAAGCTGGTACGATTAGCACAAATTCCTCGCCTGTCGACGCACAAAGCAATTTTCATCTGCTCGCTGCAGTTATCACACTCACATGCGTGTCGTTAATTGTTGTACTTGTCGTCCCGTCTTCCCAGTGTCTGTCGGGGTGCAGGCCCCTGCAGAGGTCTCAACCACATTCAACGGCACAATTTTGCACCTGATCACGCCCGAGCAGCCAAATGGTGCTATTCTCTACTTTAACGTGTATGTCCTTGAGCAGGTTCAAGTCTTGGACGGCTACGAGCCCAAAGTCAATACAACCATGTTTCTTGTGGCCCAAAGCAATTCAACCATGGTCACGCTTGGTGGATTGGCACCCGCAACGCGTTATACCTTGGCCTCGACAGCCGTGACGTCGGCCGGCGAATCCGCTCAAAGCGCGCCCATCGTTGTCCAAACCGCCGACTCTGGTTCGTCGCTACCTCTTGTCCCTTCCCCTCCCATTTACAGTGGCCGCCCCGACCGGCGCCTGTAGACCGGTCCATGATGTCTGATGGGCTTCCTCGTTGCTGCTGTTTCTAGTACCTTCACGCATGTATGCCCCCACTGTCACGGTGCTGGGCACAAACCGGTTGAATGTGAGCTGGTCACGTCCAGTCACAGCCAACGGCAACATTACCGAGTATGCCGTTTTGCTGGACCACGAGGAGTACGGAGTGGTGGCGCCTGACACCTTCTCGCTAGTTCTGACTGGCTTGCGCCAAGATACGGTGCGTGACATCTTGTGGAGCTGCTGGTTTGCACATTAAGTTCTTAACCTTCACCCCTCATGCATACGTTGAAAACAGCAATATTCGATCTCCGTGGTGGCTCGAACCACGGCAGGGTCTAGTGCGGCTTCGCTCGCCGTCACCGTACGCACCGAAGATGAAGGTTCGACTTGAGTACCTTGGCGTTTGCATGCCACGTGCTTTGATGCCTGAATTTTGCAGATATTGACTTTGTGACTCTTTTACCATGCGCACTAGAGCTTGATGTTGTGCCGCTGATTATCATTGTGGTCACAACCCTATTTGTGGCCGTTGTGGCCATTGGCTACACCTACGAGAGGTCTGTCATGTACTTTTTTTGTTTTTTGTTTTTTTTTTGCTGCCAGTGCGTCCAAGCAATTCCTTGGAGCTTACCAACGTCTTTGTGCCCCTTGACCGCCCCCTCCACCAGGCATCAGCGACTGAAAAACGCAGCCGCAGCCAGCGAGAACAAGATTCCCATGACGGCAGTGGGTGCTGGTGCGGGAATGATCTCCAGCTCCACAAGCGGCCCCGTGCCGCGCCCAGAGACGCTGCCCCCCCTACAATCACAAGGATCCTTATCCAGCAAGGTCGGGAGCGGTGCTCTGACCTTGAGTCCTCTGCGCGGTCGGCCTGCCCCGCCCAATGGAACTCCCAGTTACGTCCCGCCGTTACCGCCGGTTCAATCCCCACGGCGAGGTTTTGTCGCACCCGGACGCAAAGCAACAGTGGTACAAGGGCAACAAACTGTGGTCCAGCCCGTCCGCCGCAACATACAAGTTCCTGTTCTTTCTTCTAGCGCCGCCGAACAATCCACAGCCGTCACCACCGAGGATGGTGTCGTTGAGGCTGAAGTATAGTGCATTTCTTGACGCCTTTTGTGTTTTGACTTTTGACTCTTCAGCATGTGCCCCTTTCTTGCTTTTCGTTTTTTCCCCTTTTGACCATCATGGCCGAGCTGCCTCCAACTAGCAGATGCTGATGCACCTCCAAAGTAATCGACTCACTTGCGATATGCGGACTTGATCGAACCCAAGACAGAGCTGTTCATGTGCAATAATGAATTTTTCCAAACGAAAACCAAAAAAAAGGGGGGGGGGAAGTCGAAACAAACGCTGGCAGACATGCTGGCGGCTCAGGACCGACGGTCGGGCGAACGTGTCAAGCACAAGAGCTGACGCGCACGTAAATTTTCTGGTCTGATTGCTTTCTAGCTTGGTGAACCTCTCCTGGAGTCCTTAAGCTGACTTGTAGATGGCTCAAGTTCAAGCTACAGCTGGCAAGCCCATGGCCTACGCAAATGCATGTGTTCAAAGCAAAACACCCCTTGAGTTTCAAAGATGATGATAGTTGCAGGCTGAAAGAGGGGAGACTCGCACCTGGAAATACTGCTGAAGGACGGCTTGGACATCTGCTGGAACACTTGCAAGCGCGCCGGCATGGCTTTGTGCAAAGGCATGCACTTGCTGCACAACAGCCGCCTTAGGATCCTGCACCTCAGCACAAAAGTCTCGCTCGCCCGAGCCTGCAAAAGCAAGGCGGCTGTAGGTGGCCTTGTAACCACCTACATGTCCATGGAGCAGGGACCACCCAGCATTATGTCTGATCAGGGAGCCGGGCGAGCAAACACATAGTCAGGGTGCGCGTTAACGTACCTTCGTCCTCTTCAAAGCTCAACTCCTCTGGCTTGGCAGCTTCAATGGGCAGTTCGAGCAGCTTGAAGATGCCAGTCAGTGTGGCACCCCAATGCTAAAAATGCAGGGCAAGATTTATTGTCACAAGTTGGTTGAGAAGAGCTGGTGCTGGTCAAACATGAGCATGCGTGATATCCGTTGGCACGTGAGGCTTGACCATTTACCTCGGCATAAGGCCCCTGCAATTCTGGCGCCTCCACCAAGAGCTTGGTCATGCCCAGGATGATGGCTTTGCGATCCCGTTGGGAGGGGACTTGCTGCATCACCTCAATCAAACGGCGCAGCAACATGCCAAAGAGGCCCTGCTGAATGCTACAAACGCCAACGAGTCAGTATTTGCAGGATCCACCATACAGGCGGATGTGCAGGGGCCAAGGCCGTGCAAAACAATGAGAGCTAACTTGTCAAAGAGCTGAATGGTGGCGCTGGGGCCACGCTTGAGGCTGAGAAAGCCGACCAACACGGCCAAGCAACGTGTAAACTACGCGGCGTTTAACCCAACACGAAATAATGAGTGAGCTTGCTACAAGAAATGACAAAGACGCGCCGGAGCCCGTACCTTGGTCGTGCGCGCGGCCTGCATGCGGGTCATGAGCAATTGGACAATGTTGCCAAAGTAGGGCTCCAGCATTTGAGGTGAGACGCCATCAATCAAATTCATCAACAGCTCAAAGCCATTGTGGTCATCCACCTGGTGCAAAGCGACGGCAACACACAAAAATGACCTCATGCGTGACAAGCAAGAGTACGGCGGCATGGTGATTGAGAGGAAGGTCAATCCAACCTTGGATGCAATGAGCTTTTGGAACACGCCAAGCATGCCATCGAGCTGCTTGTTCTCAGCAGTGAACAGCTCGTCGCCGCCGTTGGTAATGTAGGCCGAAAGCAGACGCACGAGCGGCGTGCTGTTGGCTCGCGATTCCCACATGGCAGGGGCCAGCAGGAAAGGCAGCAGGCCTGCGTACGACTGGGGAATGCCCTTTGTGCGCAGCTCCAGCAAAAGGGCCAAGAGCTGAAACACATAAGGCTGAAACTCTGAGCAAAACAAGCATAGTGGCGATGAATCAGTTTGAGTGGGCGCAGACGTGTGAGGCGAACGGTGCGCAACAGGCAGCTCCGTACCAATGACATCACCCGTGAGCAGCTGCTCGAAAGGAGGAAACAAGGCGGACTCAAAGCTGGCGATGGCATCCTGGTTATTGTGACACGTGGCACTGCGCAAAGGGACACCGCAGCAGCATGAGTGGGCTGCCAGCTATCCTGCTTTTATTGGCAGGCGCTAATTTGAAAGATCTGGCGGCAAACGCACCGGATGGCAGCTGCAAAGGACTCGAACATAAAATGGTTGAAACGAGGGCGACCAGGATTTTTGGCCACCTCCATGAGAATCAGCGAGAGGCGCTCCACGATGATGGCGATGTAGGGAATGACCAGCTCCTCGCCCATGGCAATGGTGCGCATGACGGTTTTCATCAAGTACTCATTCTCGGCATTCTTGACTTGACCGAGCGCACTGAACAGATTGCTCAACAGTGCCTCCATGTTGGCAGCCAGCACCTCGCGCGAAAGGACGGGTGCGTCGTTCACCTTGAGCAGCAACTGCAGCTCGATGCAATCTGAGGTGTGGGGGGTGTTGGCAGGCGATTGTATTAGACAGAACCAGAAAGATGGGAATGCAGTGCCTCGCGGCTCATTGACGTACGTGCGGCGTAGGATACAACGACTGGCTCATCGCTGCTCAGCAAATTGATCAAGAGTGGAAAGCAGCCCGCATGAATTTCCGGGCCCAGCTGTGGCACAACAATAATGAGCGCAAGCCGTTCCCAAAGGCGAAGGGTGTCGCACCTTGCGGCCTTGGTACAAATGGAGTTGAAGGCATTTGTCAAGATCCTTCCCTACCTGATTGCGAAAGCTGACGAGATACTTGATGGCATCCGCCTTGAGGACCACGTTCTTGTTGGCATCGCCATCCTGCAGCTCAGGCAGGATGGTGGAATGAAAGACGTCGACCACATTGATCATTGAGTTGAGGGCAGTTGTGCCTTGTGACGTCGTTTTGGTTCGCACGGCCTGACGCCAGCCGGTCAAGCAGAAGCAGGAAGGTGAGCTGGAAGAGAAAGGCCGGGAAAGGCCCGCGGGTGGAGGTACCCAGAGCCCGCATTAATGCAAAAGCACGGCTGGACGTGCAGCTGGGAAACATACCAGGGCAATGATCAGAAAGACGGCGGCATCTTTGTGCTTCCACTTGGTGGCGTCGGTGCTGTGCTCCTGCATGGCGAATGCGCAGCGTGCAGTTAAATGGCCCATTTGCAGTAAGTCCAGAGACACCCACGGTGCCACTCCATTGAAGCAACATTTTCCTCTGCCGCACCTGAAGTAGTTGTGTCACGTAAACGGAGAAAATCGAGGTCACAGGCTCTTCCCAAAACTTGCACAAGCCGCGAACGAGGTCGCTAGCAGCACGGCGGCGGGTGTCAATGTCTGGACAAGCCGGCGGATTCAAGGTCGCGGTGAGATGGTTATGGTTCTGCAAAGCAAACAAGGATGGAAGAAGCTCGAGCTGCGAAACAGTGACGCAAGCATGACACACCCGAGCCCTCAATATCACGACGGATGTACTCCTCGGGATTGTCGGAAAAGATTTCTTCATCCTCGGGGCGAAACATCACGTTGGGCACGATGACCTTTTCACAGATGGTCTGCATCGTCTCCTGGTTGGCAAACAGCTCCTTGTTGGCCTCACGCTCGCTCACGCTGGCCAGGAAGGAGAGCGCCGTGCTGACGAGCTGCAGATGGCGAATTGAGGCAAAAGAAGACAGGTCAAGGTCATGCATGGCCGGAGGACAGCTACCAAACTTTCGCTTCAGGCCGGAGGGGCGCCAAGGCATTGCTGTCATGTACAGATACGCACCCCATCGTAGCGGGTTTCGAGGCTGGTCGTAGTCAACAACTCCCAAACAATCTGCACAAAACGAGGCAAGTGTGGCTAGAACCAGTGTCGATGAGACAAGGCGACAGCGCGTGAGTGCAGCGTGGCGCTGTAAAGTCAAATTGGAGAGCAATGCGGCCTCGAGGCGGAGCTCACCGCAAACTCCTCGTCATATTTGGAGGCATAGAGGCTGATGTTTGTGCAAATTTGGGCCTTGGCCAGCTCGAGGACGCCAGGCGTATCTTCAATGTCAGCCATGAGGGCCTTGTTCTCAGGAAGCTCGAGAACGGCGGCAAACCCTTCCATCCACGTGGACATGTTGTCCTCGAAGAAAGCAGCCAAGTCCTACACGTTGCATGGTTGGGGTCCACCAGCCAGCGAATGAGCGAGGTCGGCAGCCCATGGCCACTGCAAATCACACCAAGCCTGGGCAATGAACTTGGTAGCCACTGGGGGAGCACGTCAAAAGCGCTCACCTGGTAGTTGAGGCTGTAGAACACTTCGCAAATGAGACGGATAGAGTCGATGAGCACCTTCAACGTGCTGATGTTGCCTTCGTTTTGCTTGACCAGATCAAAGGTGTTTTGAAACAGAGTTGTCAGAGGCTGTGCGGTTAGGTCGAGCACATATTTGATCTCGCTCCACAGACGATCAGAGCGTTGCGCGAACCGATAACTAAAGGTGATGGGGAGATGGAGCAAGAAGCAGAAGAGAAGAGGTATCAGAAGCACGGCTGCCACACATCATCACCAGAAGGATTTTACAGCTTCGACCACGGACCGGCGAAACAAGGGGTTCATTGTGCGAAGCACGCCGTTGATGGAGTGAAAGTCGGGCTGGTCAAACTTGGAGACGAGGTGGGGGAGGAGGGTCTGCCAGTTTTCCGGAAAGTCGCACAGAGCAATCTTGGCGATGCTCTCGGAGAGCTGCACTTGAAGCGCCTCGGGCGAGACGAGCATCAGGTCAATGATTTGGGACTTGATGGCTTGGCGATCCTCAGCGCTCACGGCCGAGTCTTCGTTGTCCCATTGCTGGCGAACAAAGTTTTTAAAGTTGATGGCAGCGAGCTGGCGGAAGGGCATGGCCACCGTGTCAGCAGCCAGGAGCTGAAGCAGGGCAAGCCCGTAGCCAGGTTGGCTACCAGACCGCTCAAAGAAGGCCTCGGCCTCACGACGGCGGCCGGCATCCGGATCCATGGCCTGCTGCAGACAAGCCAGCAGCTGCTGCTGCATGTCGCCCATGATTGTGGTGTGCTTTTGGGATGGAACAGGCCACGCGGGTGAAGGAGAAGTGCAAGGCAGGCGAGGGAAGTGTCCTATGTGAGCAGGTCAGGCCAAGCAACAAATACAAAGAACGTGAAACCACAGAACAAAAAGCGCCAATTGGATTGCATCTTCCGTGCCTCCATCAAATGCACGCTCATCCCCGAGTCAGAAGACGGTCCCACCACACGCGCAGTGACACAGTGTCGCGCCCGGTGGCCATGTGGTCCCCAAACCAGTGGAACAACGATGTTCTGAGCAAACCGCGCCCGCCTTCCATGTCTGCTCAGCCCAACTCTCTTTACCCCACAACAATCCCGAACCCTGTTTTCGCAGCAGACAGGGCAGCCAGACGGCGCTCAGACTTACAATCCTTCAGCGTCGCGTCGCGTCGCGTCGTCTCGTGGTCGTCGTCGTTCAAAAAAAAAAAAAAAGGAGAGAGAGAGAGAAAGAGCGAGAGATGAATTTTTTTTTTTCAAAATTTCGTCCCGCCAAAATTTGGGTGGTTGAAACATATGTTTGGAACACCCCTCCCAAATATGCTGACATCTGCGTGCCGCTGCGTTTGCGTCTTTCAAAGATCGCAAATTTTGGTTCGCGACCGAGAAGCCGTGATATGGCGCTGGAACGACCAGTCGACGTGCATGACTCGTGCTGTACGGTATGCTGCTGCGTGCCATGGTGTTTGCCATGTGTGCTGAGCAAGGAGGAGCGCCGTGCATGGAAGTTTTGGTGGTGGAAACGCTTCTTCAAGGGTCGGGCGGCGCAGGAGCCGGCGGCGGCACCAGAAGCCATCCCGCTGCCCGACACCACGGCCTTGTTGTCGGAGCAGCGCCGCGAGCAAAAGTATGTCGGCCCATCGGTCCTCGCAAGCCCCTGTTGTTGTCAACCGTGGGAAGTGTGGATGAGGGATCTGTCATTTGGAGTCCGTCTTTTGACCCAGATCAAGGCTTCTGCTCACACGAGGCCGACTTGCAGTGAACAACGACAGGCTGCCCTGCGACGAGCGCAGACCCAAGTGGATCGACGCAACACAGAGCGGGCAAAGAAAAAAAAGCGCTTTCCTCTTCCCAGACGCAAAACAACTCGTTAGCTTCCACAAGCGGGGACTCCAGCGTCAACGCTCCAGGGTGATGGCGATGCCGCTGAGATGTGTGTTGAATCCCCCCTCTGTTGTTGTTTTCCTTTCTCCCGAGCTCACTGTCAACCCTACCCATGAACAGTGCCAGACCCGCTGTGCGGGTGATTTTGCGTGCAGCCCTGCCTTGCACCTTTGTGTGAAATGCCTTTGGTTCTCTGCTTCGCGCATTGCTGACCAGCATGACAAAGCCGGTGGGGCTGTGTTAGTTTCAAAATAGGCTAGCTATCAAGCAGGCAAACGAGTGTGGTCGAGTCATGCTCTCAATTGACATCCAGGCTTACCAAACCCTCTTCCTGGGACATTCAGTCAGACTGGGCTGCACTCGCATCCTAGTACATTGTATTAAACCAATAGGTGCGCCCCACAAAGTCACCAATGACCAGCCAAGGCAAGACGGGATGCCAGGCTGTGCTCAGCACAGCACTGCGGTTGCCCGTACTGAAGTGGCCTACGCGGAAGAGATCTGCGTCGTAGATGCCCACGCCATTGCAGTCTGGGCTCGCCAAGACTGGAACATTCGGATGCCAAGCAATTTCCTTAATATAGTTGACAGCGCTCACGCTCTCAGAGCGTCCTGCAGCCAGCCCACGCTGCTTGAGCGCAAGAAAGCCGCTCCGCCAATCTGCGGACAAGATTGGGTCATAGTCTTCCCAGCTGCCAAGGCGATATACATGGCTGACGTCGCCCGTCCTGTAATCGATGAGAGCGTGTCATGGCAAGCATGAGCCCCGTGAAAAGAGGCGGGGCGCAGGGAACGTCTGGGTTTCTGGCAACACGTACAGCGTACTGGGGTGGCCCCGGGTGGCTAGGAGTTTGCCATCATGTGAAAAGGTAGCAGAAACGGTCACGAGATCCGGCTTCATAGCGGGGACGCAAACTGCGTGTATTGACTGCAGGAAGCGCCGGTTGGACGGCGAGACCGTCTGCAGACCCCGAGGCTGCATCGCAAGTAGTCGGCCCGTCGTGAGGTCGAGTCGCCACTTTGTCAAAGCATGATATAATGAGAGTCCAACGAACCGGCTTTGATCCCATGTACGTTCGATGCAGCAAATTCATACTCAAGTCCTCGGCCCTGCATACAAAGTCCTGAAGCGGCAAGGACCACGTCAGAACTGCTCGCGGGTTGGTCTCGGAACAGGACGACTTGAGCCCTTGGCTGAGTGGGAGGGCCTTTAGGGTCACACGGGTACCTCGAGAGCGCGACGGTTGTGACCGATTTGACACAAGACATTGACGCCAAAAGGAAAGGTCTGGCGTAAGTTGAGGGAAAAAGCCTGTGCTCATAACATGAGCATGAGTGTTGGACAATTTTGAAATGGGTGAGCGCAGCCCAACTCCCATGACGTACGAGTTGCTCGCAAGAAGGGCTGAGAGTCAAACGGGTAGCCTCGTGGAGACACCCTTGTCGCTTGGGCTGGAGCGTGCCATCGACAGCGCTATCCTAAACCAACCAAAATTATGGACATGAACAAGTGAAGCGAGGCTGGTCCACACCGCTGGGGCTTGGTGAGGAAGGCACAGCAGGCATCTGCTTGGGCCTGACCTGCAGATTCCAGAGTAAAAGTTGATCATCAAAGCCACAAGTAAGCACAGTTTGCTGGTCGTTTAGCACAAAGATGGACTTGACGCTATGCCTGTGGCCTTGCAACTGCAGCTCTGGCTGTTGGGGGTTGCGCAAATCCCAGAGCTGGACCGAGCCTTCGTCGTCTCCTACAGAATGGGCGGATGGTACGGTTTGCGAACGATCGATTTAGTTAGCAAACCGCAGCCCTTGGGCACTCGAGGGGGTGTGACTTGACTGTAACAAGAGCGCCGAGCGCACCGAGGAGCAGGCGACAGTCCCCACACCAGCGGGACGTGTTGGAGGCCATGGGAAGGCGGGCAACAACATGCTGATTATGGCTGACAAAAATGTCCGTCACGCTTTCCGTTGATGAAGCAAGAAATCGACCGTCGGGGCTAAAGTTCAAACCAAAGCGTGGAATGGCCGCGGGCTCCCCGGCATCCGGAGCCACCCGCCACAGGACCTGGTTGGGAAGGCGCTGGCGTTGTTCGAGCGTGGCGCACCAGCGATGGCGATTCTGCTGCAACTGATGCCAGATCGGCAGCGGCGCGTGTCGCCATGGCCGACAAGAAGGGCTATGGCGCTCTTGATCGAAGGACTCTGCCTCCTCGTCAAGCGGCACCGGAGATCCTTCTCGCGAATCTGAAAACAAGCAGGCGACGGGCTGTCAGCTCACACCAACCCATCGCTGTTGCACAACCAATAAACCTACCATCTGATGATAGCAGAGAAGGGGACGTGGACAAGGATGAGGACCGTGAACCCGAAGAGCCACCATCCGAAGCGCCACCATCCGAAGAGCCACCATCCGAAGAGCCACCATCCAAAGAGCCACCATCCGAAGAGTCACCACCCGTCGAAGGGGACTCCCACACCCCTTCTTCCTCCTCTTCCCTGCCCCGATCGGCCATGACAGGGTGCTCGTTTCACAAGCAACAATTTTCTGACAAAAGCTCACAAGCAATTTATGGTCACTGTATTCGCATTGTCTTAAACGCCAACGCGAGCGAAAGTGCTCTCTCTCTCAGTTTTTTGAATTTTTTTTTTCAGGTTGGCGCCTCGGCTTCCCGCCCGTCTTGGCCGCACGCTTCTGTCATGTTCGCCTCGATCGCATTTGGGCTAGATTCAGTGTGTCAAGCAGCCACCGAATCGATAACCTGACGAGTATTTGTTTATCGTGGCTCCAGGCAAAAAACAGGCAACATGGGCAAACACGGCCGCAACCAGACGGCGAGCTCCGTGTACACCTACCACGAGCGACAGAAGGACAAGCGTGAGTGGCTCGTGACTTGCTCCTCATCCTCAGGTCAAGACACCGAGACTCACATTGGCGCGTGATCGCAGTGCAAAACAAGTATGGTACGCTCAAGCAGCGACTGGGCGTCGACTCGACCAAGGTTTGACCCCGCAAAGAAGGTTTGGGCCATGGTGTCGCGTTTTGACTCATGTGCGCTGTCGCTTGAACAGGAGGTCGATTGCTGCTGCTTGACGTTGCAGCCAGTCGTAGACGGTGTCGTGACGTAAGTCAAGCTCTGAAAACACGCAAATCCTGGTGTATTCTATCACCTCGGCTTTGCTTATCAACAAGAATGTGCTCTTGCCGGGCTCTTTCTTTGTGCTTACCACAGACCGGATGGTTACCTCTACGAGCGTGAGGCTATTCTCGAAAACCTGCTGCACCAAAAGCGGGAATGTAAGTGTCGGTTGTCATGAAGGATGGCTTTGAGGGTGTTCATTCTAGTCCTGCTTCAAAGCTACGGGGAGAGGTTCTCCTTCCTTTTTTTTTTTTTTGTATCTGCAAAGGCCCTGTTCAGCTTGTGCTGACGATAAATCATTTGGCCGCTTTGCCACAGATGTCCGTCAGATGAAGGAGTATCAACGACAAGTGGAGCGTGAAAAGCAGGAGGGTCTTGAAACTGAGGCTGCTGCGCATCGCGACCGGATCGAGGTGCGTCGTCCTCTTGATCAGTCTCGAAATGGTTCTGAGCGGCCAGCATTTCACCACTTACACTGCATGGTCTTGACATAGGCCTTTCGCCAAGCTGAGCGAGGTATCACGGCGGCCCAGATTTCATCTTTCACCAAGGATGACAAAGTGGTGCGCTACTGCAGGCATTTCATTGACACGCCAGGCTTGATGGTGCATGCTCGTTGAGTGTCTCATCGTCCCGTGGCTATTGGTGTAGCGCACGCATGCCAGTGATGCCTTGGACGAGGCCAAATCCAGAGCGTTCCGCATCAAGACCGCCAAGGGCGAACAAGAGGCCAACCACGCTGCGTTTTGGTATGTGGGGTTTGCCACGCACGTCACCACATAAAGGGCATGTTTGTTTGTTTGTTTTTTTCCACCCAGGCAAACCATGCGGGCAATGCTGGCGCGATGATGTTCCTCCCTCCTAACCTCTTGAAATACATTCAAATTTTTCTCGACATTTTCTGATTGACAGGGTCCCGCAAATGGCACCCGAGGCCTCAAAGACAAAGCTGACCAAGCCGGTACGTCCAAGTCTGTGGGGGTCTGCGTGACACCGACCGCTGTGTCTCATTGTGAACCGGCATGGAACTGCAGGATAAGAAAACTCGATGCCCCACTTCTGGGCGTCCGCTCAAGGTCAAAGACCTGATTACCGTGCGCTTCACCGAGGCCGACCCGAGCTCCTCCATTCCCCTCATCTCACGCCCGGTAGGCTGGACGCCCTTGCTGTTTGCACGCTCAAAACAGGGCTGGACCGTTTGAGGATTTAAGGCACAAAGTCTTGTTCCCCATCCCCTGTTGATGGCGGATGATGACAATGGTGCTGTTCCAACCCGTCCTTAGGAGCGATACATGTGTCCCGTCACGCGCACCGCCCTCAAGGGCAATGTTGAGGCAGCTGTGCTGCGCCCTACGTACGTATGGGCGGCGAGAGATGCGATACGGCTTTGCCGGTGTCGAGCCGGTACTGCAATCCTGATCACCATCTACCCTCTTGCTTTGATCCAAACCTGTGCAGGGGTCGAGTCGTAACCATGGACTGTATCAAGCGGCTCATCAAGCCAGACATGCGCGACCCCATTTCTGGCGAAGCCTTGACCGACGCTGATATCATTCCCCTCAAGCTGGTTTGTGCATCATGCCCGAGTTGTCGCTGGACCCGAGCCAGGTATCTTTTTGCATTACCAATTCACAGCGTGCTGCTCGCCCGGGCTTACACAGAAAGCGTCGGGCTTTGCTGCCTCCAACCAGCAGCTGTCGGCTTCCAAAGTCACGGCCATGCAAACAGCAACCTAATGTCAAAAATGGCTACTTGTTGTTCCTTTGCATGAGTTTTGATTCGAAGCACACTACCCCAGTTGATGGACTTGACCCCAATCCTGTAGCCATCGACCAGGCAATCGCGTGTCTCAGTACCCACCCTCTGCCGTTGCATTTCGAGTCTGAACGCATTTCAAAGATGTTTTTGACACGCGAGCACACACACACACACACACATACACACACATTTAAAGAAAAATACAGCAACAACTCAATCAGCGGCAACGCCTTCTAATGCTTCCACCTGAAGCAAATCTGCTTATACTTGAACTTTTGCTGCAATAACCGTTCTTTCTGCTGCCCCAAGCACAAACGTGACGAGGAAATGACGAACAATGGCGACAAGATGACCGCAAAACCGGGAAACGGCAAATGGCAGCGTCGCCGCACACCGGGCCGTGCGGTTGTGCATATACTCCTCAGAACAGCCGATCCCAATCCCCATCTTCAAACTCCTTCCCACTGAATAGGAACAGTCCCGCGCCGCGGCCTCCCATAACCAGCGGGCAGCCACCATCCCGTTACGCCCACCTTTCCTTTACTCTTTGACCACGCCACTGAACGAATCTCGTTGCTGTTCGAGTCAGTGGCATTGCATTTACTCTTTTCTTTTCTTCGGGGCATTATCCAGACGTTGAAGGTTGGTCCATCGTCGACTGGTGCTGTTTGGGCGGAGGGGGTTCGGCTCGGTTCAAGTTTTGTTGATCTGTCAAACGATATCAAGGCAACACTCGAGTTGGGGTGCTCTCGCTCACGCTGCCACACTGTATGCATCCTTGTTGTACCAAGCAGGAAACGACAAGATGTGGGCATCTGCAGCACGTATGGGAATGGTGGGCGCACGCCGTGCCTTGAGCACGGCGTCCACGGCCCGGTCGGGTTCGGCGCGAGTCGGCTTGGCCCTCGCCGCTGGTGGCCTTACCGGTGCCGCTGTTTTGGGCTCGGGTGTCGCCGATTGCTCCTGGTACAACCCCATGTCCTGGTTTGCTGCCAGTGTGGACTGGCAGAGCGTTCGTGCCGACATTGAGGAAGCCATTGATAACAACGACATCGATGGCCAGGCCCCCGGCCCCCTCCTCCTCCGCCTCGCGTGGCATTGCTCTGGCACCTACGACAAGGAGACGGGCACCGGTGGCAGCAACGGCGCGACCATGCGCTTTGCGCTCGAGTCGGATGATCCCGCCAACGCCGGCCTTCAAAAGGCGCGCAACCTCCTTGAGCCCATCAAGGCCAAGTATCCCGGTTCGCATCCGTCGTCTTGCCGCGCATATCTCGCCTTTCCCCGTTTTTTTTTTGTTTTTTTTTTCAGCGAAATCTGTCTCATGGCCCCATGGATTGCCCCGTACCTTGCAGGCATGACTTTTGCCGATCTCTACACCTTTGCCGGCAAGGTGGCCGTCGAGTCGATGGTAAGCCCTGTCCATCCCGTAATGATGGCGACAGTGATGTTGTTGCCGTCGCCGGCGCTGTTCCCTTTCTTGATGTCCCCAGCCTCGTCTTCTTCGTCGCATGTTACAATCTCACCCTTGCCTTGACGTTCCCTTCACCAGGGTGGTCCCGAGATTGCCTGGAAGCCGGGCCGCTCGGATGCCGCTGATGAGACCTTCTGCCCTCCCAACGGCCGCCTGCCCGATGCCACCCAGGGTGCTGCCCACATCCGCCAGGTCTTCTACCGCATGGTACGTAACAAACCATGACCTCACGTTGAGTCGTTGCACCGCTGAGGCTTGCAGCAGTCTGATGAGACAAACAAACACCCCCAAAAAATTGCCATAGGGCTTCAACGATCAGGAAATTGTTGCGTTGGTGGGGGCCCACACCGTGGGCCACTGCCACAAGGACCGCTCCGGCTTTGATGGACCTTGGTCCTTTGGCCCCTACAGCTTCGACAACGACTTTTTCCGCCTGCTCTTTGACGAGACCTGGACCGTGCGCCCCAACTTCAAGCCCACTCAGTACGAGGACTCGACCGGCAAGCTAATGATGCTGCCCACCGATCTGGCCATTGTCCAGGATCCCAAGTTCCGCCAGTGGGCTCGCAAGTACGCTGACGACATGGACCTTTTCCACCGTGACTTTGCCGCCGCTTTTGCCAAGCTAATGGACCTCGGCGTGCCGCGTCGTTAAATTGCGAGCGTTGTCGAGCCACGCCAGTCTTGAACGCCTGGTCTGACGATCGCTTCTTTCTTAATACTTTCGGTTTCTTGATGTGTTTTCTTTTGGGCGGCTTGATCTTTTGCCGTTCTTTTTGCTTGTCAGTAGTGCGTCGAGTTGACGTGCCTTCTAACCCACCTCCTCAATTGATCGTCACCATGATCATCATCCATCATCATCATCATCATCATCATCCATGTCTTCAATTTAGTTTGTCGGGAGTGACAAGAGGAACCGGGCCAGCGTATGTGCACCGATGGCCAGAACAGTGTCGCAAAGACCATCCCTACAGTTCATCCTTGCCGTCGTCAAGCTCGACGTCATCGAGGTCAGAGAGATCAAACTCCTCCTCAAAGGCCTCTTCCGGCCCGTCAGAACCATCCCAGGGCTCGACCTTCTCCACCGTCGGCATGCCAGGCAGGTTGGCAGTGGCTTGACGACCCGTCAACTACATGAATGAATCGAAGGGAAAACACGACCAACCACAGTGAGCAATTGGGTCGGCCAGCTATCCCCTTGTTTGCCCCTTTGCTTTGACCCCATTTCCCCTTGAGAACTAGAGCAGGTCAGCACCAATCGTACCAGGCGCCCAACAAAGTCGCTGATGCTATCCTCAGTGTATGCACCGCGCATGGTGGCGAAGCGCTCCTTCTTGGCATTGACGGCAACCAGGGCTGGATAACCAAAACCTCCGACGTCCAAAGCAGCCTCAAGAGCAGGCTGAGTGCCAGCAGCGGCCCACACCCAACCGAAGGGACGGCGCTTGTACTTTTCCGCCATGTCCTTCTGCAACTCGATCAGAGCGTTGCGGCCCTCGGCCTTGGTATCCAGAATGTCTGGCACAAACGTGATAAAGCACAGCTAAACACCCCCAAAAAAATAACGACAGCGAGTGACCACCCCTCATGAGCGAAAGAGCGTCATCAATGTTTCTGAAAGTCTGGGGGCTCCCTCCACCATCAAAAGGATTTAGGCCGACGACAAACCTGGTGATCCGTGCACGAAGAAGCAAAGGCCGAATTGTCGGCAATTTCCACGACCTCGGGTGCCGGCTTGGTCTCGAGGAGCTTGGACTTGGCGTACTCGACAAAGTCCGAGGCCGAGCGACCAGCCGGGTAGTCCTCAGTCTCCCCAGATTTAGGGCCAGCGGGAAACACCTTGATCGTAGGGTAACCTTGCACACCGTATTGAGCGGCCAGGCTTTGTTCCTGGGTGGCGTCAACGTTGACAAAGCGCACGGGCTCGTTCTTGAGTTCACGGGCAGCCTTCTCGTACTCGGGGTGAAGACGCTGGCAATGACCGCACCAGGGAGCAGTAAAGGCCACAATGACGAGATCCTCGGTTCCAAGGACATCGCTTCCAAATGAAGAGCCTGAAGCCTCAATGACATTCTTGCCACCGCTGCCACTGCCACTGCGGCTGCCAGAGCCGCTGCTCCTGCCGCTGCTCTTACCACCCATGCGAGCGTTGGCGACTGCGCGAACCTCGTTCAGAGCAGCATCCACCAGTGCCTTGGCCGTGCGCTGGCTGTTGAAATCTGAGGGATGCTGTTTGTCAGCACCAAAGATTTTGATGGTCGGGAAGCTAAACAAGCGCAGCGCGAGCTCATGAGCCAAGGGGGTAACCAGTATCCAGCAACAAGCGCGAGAGCACTGCAGTCACCACGCGCGTACCCTTGCACATTGTAAGGACCACCCAGGCTCTGGTGCTGGGTCATGTCCACGTTGGCAAACTTGACGATGCCCTTCAGGGCAGCAGCAGCCTTTTGATATTCTGCGAAAGAGAAAGTCCGAGGCAAATGGCATGAGGCCACGGTCGCATGGTCGTCACAGGCTGCATCAAAACGCCTGCGCTTGGCCAAACTTACCGGGCTTGAGGCGCTGGCAATGGCCTAAATACGGACAAAGTCAAAAAAAGGGGGGCGGGACATGAGCAGAGCTTATGCGAGAACCGTCCGCGTTCCTGGATCGCCCGCCGCTAGTTTTACGCACCACACCAAGGAGCAGTAAAGGCGGTCACGTAGATTTCGTCGCTCTTGAGCATGGCCTTGAAGCTAGACGGATCAAGCTCCAGCACATCGTTGGCTGCCGTCACAGCCGGCACGAGGGCGGCCAGCGCCACAAGCGCCAGCACCGCCAGCATTCCAGATCGCCACATCTTTGCAATTTCAATCTAGCCACCAGCCCAAACCCAGCATCACAATGAGCAACAACACCCATACAGCCTTTACACCTCCCTCCCTCCCGCCCAGCCTGCTCCACGCGCCGTCCAGAAGGGGCCACGATGCCATATCGCCCTCGTCCAATCACTGGCACATACCAGAACAGAAAAGAAAAAAATGTTGATGTTGCAATAACATCTATATCTTCTACAAAAACATTTCTTATGAATACGTTATCACCTTATACACTTCAACAATTAGTGTGATATGCTCTGCACAAACTCGAGCATTATACCTGTCTTTTTTCTGACAACAGAGCTTCCGTGACGTGTCGCAGTCTAGATGACTATAAACTCTGACCCCAAGCCTGGCGACTTCCAGCAGCATCCGCCACTCAAATGTAAAATACTTTTATATTTTGAAAGGTGGTATCAAGTAAAATACTTTTTCTCAGTCTCCGATGTCGCAATCGTAACGGACACAAAAACGAATTATGAGAGAGAGATAGAGAGTGTGTGTGTGAGAGGAAGAGAGCGCCAACGCGGCAAATGCTCGGCGGGGCTGGGAGCTGGCACCTGCCCTTCTTGATCCCATATCAGCTCATACCGTCTAGCCTCAGATGTCAATCTTATAATGTGTTTGATCGGTCCATGATTTCATTTTTATACTGATCCTTTCCTCAGAGTTCACCGTCATCATCATGGGGCCCTGGGAGCTGGTGATTGGCCTTGGCCTTGCGACGCCTCTCCTGGTCCTTGCCGCGCGCTGGTTGGGGCGCAACCTGTACATCGGCACGAAGAAGTGGCGCTACGCTAGCGCACTGGGTGGGTGCCCGTCGCTTGCTTGATGATGTGTCCGATCAGCTCAATGGATTTGATGGATTGGCCCGCCCCGTAGAGCTTGGCTTTATGGATCGCTGGTACGCTGGCAGTCATGATGCTCGCAATGTGGTGGCCTTTGGCTTATGCCTGCATCTACAAACTCGAAAGCACATTCACGATGACCAGGTTTGGCATAAAGCCCTTCAGCAAGCTCTGATGGCCTGCCTCGCCGAGTTTCCCCTTCTCCGGTGTTCCTTTGCCCGCGACGCGGCTCGCGAACCGCGTGCCTTTACACCGTTGCCGGATCTCCCAACGGCTGCACACGAAGCAATTTTTATTCATGCTCTACCCGAGACTCGTGTCAGCCCTGCGCAAGACAGCGCAGACGCCGATGACGATGCGCAACGCCTCAATGAGCTTGTGGATCGCCTCAACCAGGAGCCATTCCTGCCCGACGCTCTGCAATGTCAGCTGCACCTACTGCGCAGCCGCTGTTCCAATCGCACCGTCACCGTTGTCCTCAAAATTCACCACGCCATTGCCGATGGTATCGGAGCTACCGCTTTGGCCCCTCGTCTTTTGCAGTGCCTGGACCAGGCTTTAGCCCATCCCGACCAGCTGCCCGATTCCGTGGCGCACACCTATGAGGAGCTCAGCATGCCCATGGAAACTGCTCTCGACATGCGTCCCTCACTCCATCAGGTGCTCACCGAGGTCCTGTATGACCAATGGCCCAATTTGCGACCCGCTGAGCAGCATTGGCTTGGTCCCTCCGATGACCCCGCGCGTGCGGGCCACGCACAGCGCCGGCCAGCCCACACCATGCTTCGCTTCACCCCATTGGAGACGGCCCAGCTGCAGGCCTTGGCTCGCCGTCAGGGCACCACCGTCAACGGCCTCATGATGAGTGCTGCTGCCATCGCCACAACTGCGTTCGCGCCTTCCACCAAACTGGGGCACCACCACCCCGTGCAGATCAGTTGCGTGGCCAACCTGCGCCCCTTCTGTCGACCCATCCCTACACCTTGGTCCTTGCGTGCTTATCTCAGCACCGTGGATATACCCGTTACCTTGCACGACCATGAGCCGGCTTGTGCCGTGGCCCGCATGCTTCAACAGCGTACGCGGGCTGAGGTTGCAAACGCCGGTCGCTTAGTCGGTCTCCTTCAATTCGTCTCTGGCAGCTTTGTGGATCTTATGCGACGCTTGGCACAGCGTTCGCCTAACGGACGCCGTACTACCACAGGCGTCTCCAATCTTGGATTTGTGCGCGGTATGTCCCTTGGCGCTATGCCAGATTCAACATTTTCCTTTTTCCACCCCGCTCTTTTTCTTTTTCTTTTTCTTTTTCCTGCTACCCTCTGAACGACATTTCCAGCTCGTGACGTGTTCGGTTGAATCCTTGATATTCGATTATCTCTAAAATGCTTTTATTCGGCCAGTGTGTTTTCCAAGAGAGCTTGACGCTTGCAGTCAGACTAATCGGCTCATGCCCGGCTCTTGTCCTTCGCTCGCAAACTCGTAGAGCTCCAGTTGAACGGCGCAGCCATCGAGCTCAAGTCGGTCGACTTTGTTCAAAGCAATCATGCCGATGGCCCCGTCTTCAATATCTCCGTTATCACGGCTGGAACCGGCGCCATGAGTATTCAGGCGGCTTGGACACGACCAATCACCTCCGACGCGGATGGTCGAGAATTTGGTGCCCTGTTACGTCGAACTCTTGACACCATGCTGTCCAACCCGGGCGTGACCGTCGGTGCTGTGCTCGGCCCTGCCCGGGAATAGGAGCTCGCCTATTAGGCGCACCACTAGTTTGATTGGGTATTCGGTGGTTAGCATCGTTTGCATCACGTGCCGGACAACGCCTCTGTCCTTCTGTTCACGCAATTCAGTTGGGAACTTAAGTGCGACTTACCTCGGGGGTTAGTGGCAGCGCGCACAACCTCTGCAACTGTAACCCCGCACCCAGCCTCCAGTGCTTGCCGGGCTGCCTCAGGGGACAGATCCTAGTCAACGCAGCACCACAGCTCAGAGAAAGGGCACATCCTAGGCAGGATTCTGCCGAAACTGCAGACTCAGACCCCACCCCACAGCGCAAAGTTGGGTGCCCCACCCACAACAAGCAGCGCTATACCTCTGTTGGATTGACCCAGCCAGAGATGGGCACGCTGGGAACGTGAGGCCCGTGTGTGGATACAAGGCCGCTGGCCACAAAGGCTGCCTATTCACCAGTCCAGCCAGGCACCACATCGGAATTGATCCATGAGTTGGAAGTACGCTCTGCAGACCGTTGTCATGAACCACTGGCGTGCTGCAAAACACCCCCTCGACAGAAAAAAAAAAAAAAACGTGAAGCACATGTGTGCACGGACCAAAGCTTCCAAGCGCTGCTCTTGTTCATCAATCCGAGGTGTGGGCAGCCAAACGTTGCTTGAGATGGATGCAGTCTCAGCCACAACTTCGTGCCACATTTGATGGGGAACAAACATTAGATCCCCCGGTTGCAGGTGCACCTCAAACACGGCTTTGGGATGCGCGCGGCGTAGCTCTTGGAGCGAGGTGATGGCATATACGGTAGATTCCTCCCACGGAACTCGGGTGGCTTGCACTTCAGACGCATTGGGTGCGGCCACCAGCCAGCGTTTGGTGCCGTGGTGCTGTGCAACGATATTGCAGCCATAGACGTCGTAATGACCATGGGTGGTGGCGCCAGCGGTGCCACACCAGAATGCACCTTGGTCACGAAGGACAGTCTCTGGAAGATCACAGACACTGGACCACGAGGCCAATAGCGTCGCACAGAGTGGAGCAGGTAAATCACGCCACCAAATGTACGAGGCATAGCCCCAGTAGTGGGCGGGATCAAACTCTTCTGCTGCGAGCTTGCCCGTCGTCTTAGCCCGCTTTGTGGCCGATGCTGCTGGCGAATCACCAGCGGCAGCAATGCTTGACTGCACCCAGTGCACAAAGTCCTGCAATGGCAAGCGCCGTGCCTCTGCCAACCCTTCCCAGGCAGGCTGATCGTGCCGATAGAACTTGACCGGCACGGTGCTCTGCCCAGGCACGGCGGCATGGCTTGATGAGACGAGGCTCAGGTGTGGCACACGCAAACTGGGTCCCTCGCCAAAGAGCGCACCTCAATCGTCAGCAGATCTGCCCAGCCCAAGCGCAGATCATGCCAAACCTTGGCCCCACCTCGCCACACACACAAACGCTCCCCATACAGGGCAGCTCGAAAGTCCGTCTCAGACACACACTCGCACAGCCAGTCGGGCCAGCCCTCGGGCCTCGAAGGAGTTGATGAGGTGCTCATGTTGTTGGCCACAAAATGCTGACAATTGTTTCAAGAAATGCTGACAATTATTCCAAAAAGTCTGACAAAGCGAAAAAAATATTTCGGAATGGCTCAAAAAAAATATTATTATTATTATTATTTCGGAATTTCAGGCGCCATGGTGTGTGAGTCTGCGTCTGGTGTCAGCGTCGCATATCGAAGATCAAGCTGACTACACTGTGATGGTGTGACGCGGTCGTTCCAGCTCAAAACTCAACGGCCATGCCGTTGAGATCACTTTTGCTAACATTTACTTTCTCGCCAGTTTGCTTTCTGCAGCCGCCAACGTCATGGCGGAAGGCACGGAACGAACGTGCACTGATGCCGCTTTGTCGGCAGAGCCACTGCAGCAGCCTGCTATGAATCTCCAGCCAGATCTCTACTCTTTTGACCCTGAATGGGAGCAGGAGGTGCGCGACGTATTGGCAGGAAGAAGGAAACCTTACCATCGAAAGCGACCGCGCCGACCTCGCCAATCCGACAAGGGCTTCATCGAGCCAAAGCGGCCCGTGGGCCGGCCAAAAAAGCGAATCAAAGAAGTCCAAAACTCAGCCAAAAAAACAGCGCTTGATGCCCAGTAGAGGAACGAGGGCTCATTTTACGCCGCATCCTCTGCTGTTCAGACCAGCGCTCCTTCATCGCCAGTTCATGAAATCCTGCCGGAAGAACAGCCGCAGCCCGAAGGCAGAGACTGTGAGCGACTTGCACACAGCGTCGCACTCAGCAGCTGCCGAAGATGAGTCGGAAGCTGGTGTGATGACAGATCAGGGTTAGGATTCGGAAGTGATGCTCGCTAGTGCCTGAGGGTTCACATGGCAGTTTGCACCCCCACCCCCGCCCCCCCTCTGTGTGTGAGGAGCGACCGACAGTATCGGTGTGTCGGCACTTGCCACATCTTTCGATTGAAAGTTGCCATGGATGTCGTCTCATGTGCAAGGGTTGTCTGAAATTTCAATTTGTTTCTTTTTTTCCTCTACCCGACATGCATGAAAACACCCACAAGACAATGTCCAGCAGAGCAAGCTACTAGGTACGGCGTGGTGGAGGAGCGCGCAACCCAGAGCGGTTGCCTCCTTTACGGCGCAGGAATACCCACATGGCCAGGGTGATGGCTGAAATCGAATACCTGTCATTAGATCAGGAGACGAAGCGCGCGTGAGCTAGAGCCAACCCTTCAACCGACCATCACGGAACCGTTTGGCTGTGGCTGATCGAATGTTCAGGCCGCATCGCGACTTACCAGGTGATAATGTAGGACAAGTGTTCGTTGCGCACCGTAATGTTGGTCTGCCCGCCCAGCGGGAAGCCGCCTGGCGGCGTGCATTCTATTCGACAGATGGTATCGGGGTTAGCTCGGCTGGTCCTTGCGCTCGGCAGTGCATAAGGCAGAAGAGAGACTCTCATGCTGCCAAGGCGAGTCAGCGCCATCCATACCAGCGGTGGCATCAATCAACACAGGCAGCGCGCTTCGGTTACTGGCCATGGTCTAATGAACGGAGTGCACTGAGACGAGGGGACATGGACAAAGGGACCTCCCGGGGACAAGGACGAAGCTGAGGTCTGATGTGAGTGCAACTTACAAACACGTCAATCCAGTACCACGTGTTTTGCTCAGGATGGTTGTCGGGCACAAAAGCCGTTTGCTGCAAAGTGCAACAAATCAAAGAGTCACAAGGCCCGTGAGAAGAGAAGGCAGCCCAAAATAAACAACGATGCAATGGTGGCATTCAATATCAATGGGCAAAAGTGCGAGCCGAGGAACGATGGCACTGATCCGCATACACGCACCGACTCGCCATGGCGAACAATGCCTTCGAGGCGAACCGTGCCCTCCACTTGGCCAGCCGCTCGCTTGTGGGGAGGCGCTTGTGCCTCAGGGACAAAGCCGCGGTTCACCAAAATCACCTCACTATCTCGAGGCCAAACAGTCCACATATAAGTAGCAAGCAGTCGGAGCTGATGAGGGCTTTGGCGGTGCTTGCATAGACTTGAAACACTACCACTCCTAACCCTTACCCGGTGTCAGCGAGACGAAAGGGAGTGATGACCTGGACACCTGCCTCGGGCAAATCCGCCTGTACAGCGTGCGTGGCAAGAGCAGGTATTTGAAAAATGGCGTGCAAACTAGCCAAGCGGGCTCGAACGAAGCACAGCACCATCTACCCGGCTTGAAGACCAGGTTTGAAGCGAGCATACAACGTACCATGCCGCTGAAGACCTCTCGCGTTACGGTTCGTGGACCCACCAACATTTCTAACCCCAGCAGAGAGTAAATGTGACGACTTGCAGGCAGCCACAGCAGGAATCGCCCGGACAAGACACCCATTCGAGCGAGCTGGCCAAACCTTGGTCATGTAGAAAGGTGCCCGTCACCGCGACGCGTTCATATTCCATATGCGCCAAATCAGCTGGGCTGCGTTTACGAGAGGAGACAATACAAACCGGCCCATGCGCAGATGAGCCAGATGGGATTTGAGCCACCAGTCGTTGTCAAACGGCCTCAAGACTCAGCAGCCGAGGAAAAACAGAATGCAGTCATTGCACGCACTTGGTTGGCAGCGCGGCTGGCTCCTTGGAGAGCTTGGCTTCCAGCGTGGCAATAAGCTCCTCCTTCTGTTGTTTCCGAAAGATTTGCCAAGTGCCAAGGCCAAAGGTTACGACGGGAACGGACAAAAGTGCCCAGTAGAGGCCACCACCTCTTTTACTGGCCGCTGCCACCGAGCTGCTTGTTGCCATGTGGTGAGTCTGCTGCGCAGCGCCCATGCGCCAATGCGCACGGAGGCCGCGCAAGCCTTGCCGCAGCCACAACGAGCTCATAACGCCAAGTGACGACTCCAAAGATGACGCCTGGAAGCAATAACCGGACTACCTGTCGGAGCGAATCCTTGAGGAAAGAGTGGCCAGAGACGAGGTGTGAGGACTTGAGTAGGCAGCAATCCGTCCCCAAATCAAACAAATGCTAGCGGTTGAGCGATGATGCCCAAGAACCCAGTGAGGGAGGAGGGGGTTGCAACAAGTTGCAGCCGGACGCAACTGTCAGAAGGCAGACGACGCCGTCATTGACCGCGCCCAGAGCCAGCCGCCAGCGACGCCTCCCTCTCCCCTATCTAACCTACCCCCCCCCCCTCCACCCAACTCTCGACACTTTTCCTAACCCCCGTCCCCACTGCCAGACTGCCCTTGCACTCGCGCACCACCCCAGTCACTTGCTCCCCGCCGTCAGCGGCTCTCGGATCCGAACCTTTTTATTCTTTCTTGTCTCTTGCTTAAAATGTCTGACAATCCTTCTGACGTTCGTGCACGTCCTCTCTCTTGTTTTTCTCCTTCTCAAAATTTAATTCATCTCTCTATCTAACTTAACTCTAACTAACCATCTCTCGCCCCTCCGCTGTCTTTCCTCGCTCTCCTCTCGTCTATCTGACCCCTATCTTAGTCGGGGGTTGTGGTGCTACCACCGTCATTTCTACTACTTCTACGACCAGGACCTACGACTGGTTGTTGTTGCTGTGGTGGTCATGGTCGTGCATCAATCGAATGGTCAATGATGGCTGAAGTCAAGGTGGGAAGGAGTCATCAACTCGGCTGGCATCGTGCGCGTGTCACGCTTCACAAACACAAATCGGATCCAAAAACAGCGCCACAAGAATTAGATGCCACACGGGGGTTCACAGGTAGGTCAATCACAGTTAACAAGAGTCTGGGACGAAAACAACGCACAAGTCAACAAGGCCTGAAGCCGAACAAGGTTCCAGACACTGGACAGCATATCCCCGGCATGGCCTGCGGGATTGGCCTCGCTACCTGGTCACGAAAACAACGCGCCGGAAGTCAAGGCTACACGGTAAAAATTGACAGAAAGAGTGGAGGGACGAGCCAAGCCTACACGGTTGTGGTGCGCATCTGACTAAGGCCCGATGACGCCAAGTGGCGGTCATTGCGCCGCTTGAGCTTGACCAGCCGCGCCTCGGCAGCCTGCGCATGCTGGCGGCGGGCTCGCCGAAATTGCAGGTACATGATCACAACGGCTACAAGTAGAATTCCAGCCGCAGAACCCATGGCCACGGCCAGAATGATTGCCAACTGATCATGGTTGTTCGAAGATCGTCGCGTGGTGTACACGTAGCCTAAAATACCAGAGACGAGCAATAAGCAAGCATCAGGCTACACCCGTTGATCCGCAAAAGCCCCCAGATGACGTGCCCTCTGAGAATTAAGTCTCATCCCGTTGATGTTCATGGCCATCCTGCCCACATTTTCTTTTCCACTGGCACGCGCCAGCCGATGTACAACGACTTACCCGTGGAATCAAATACGGTGCGAGCAAAAGCGGGTGAGTTGAACTCGCTGGCAAGCTCATCGTAGGAAAGACATCCACCACTCAATGTGCGCCGACAAGCTGCCAGCTTGAGCTGCACCGTACTGCCGCTGTCCTCTGCAACCTCGCCTTGCAGGGCAAACCCCACAATATCCTGCAGAATCAAGACCAGGCTGTAGCCATCAAGCGGCAGGAAGCCCTCGGTGGCCTGCAGCGTCAAATCCATCAGCATCGACTCGGGCTTTTGCACTGAGCACGTGTTGGTCCGGCAAGTGCCCATTTCGGCCGGCGGCACCTCCGAGTTACATGCAGACGCTTCCACCTCCACATCCTCCACCCCATTGTTGCAGATGCAAGCGTACGTGGTGGTGTCCTCACCGCCACCACAAGGCACCGAGCACACGGTCGTCCGTAGCTGGCTGACGTTGCACACCAACTGTGCCACGTCAAGAGTGCGAGCCAGCTGGCAAGCGGCATCACAGGTCGCACATTCCCCCTCGTAGCAAGTGCCGCTGTCTGCATCTCCGGCCGTGTGTGCACAGGGCATGTCGTTCGGAAGCGCCGCACAAGTTTCTCCGGCGTCGCTCCAGGCCGTCAGCAGCGCAGCGTCTCCTGGGCAGTTTGGTGTCAGCGGCCGGCATGTACCTCCCTCCTCGGTGCCATTTTGACACGCCGCCACGCATGGAGCCTCTTCCAGGAAGCAAGCAGAGAGGTTGAGGGCAGCGCAGGAGGCGGCGTGTGGCACAACGCAAATGCCACTCTGGCAGGTACCGCGCGGCACGCTGGCGGTCGAGCAATACAGCCCGTCCTCACGGACGGTGGGTTGGGGACATGTTGCAGAGCTGCCATCACAAACCGGAGCCTCGAGACAACCCGTCTCGTCGATGAAATCTGTGTCGCACACCGCTCCTTGCGGTAACAAAAGCTGGCCCAAACAGCAGCTCCCCGAGCCAACATCACAAGGATGAGGCTCCTCGAGGCAGCTGCCCTTGTTGTCCAGCACAGCAAGCATGCGATCAATGTTGCAGGAGGAGAACAGCCGAGCATTGGCATGGGTGTCGTCCAGCGGGACAGCTGGGTACATGATGTAGTTGCCACCCTGGCCGGCAGTAGGTGCGCAGCTTGATGAGCCAATCACGGCGTTGCATAGCTCGCTCTCGTCAGTCGAGGAGAGTTCACAACTAAGAAACAAGGCGACAGAATGTAAAAGAGCGGGCGAGGGGTCACGGCACGCGGTGAGTGAAACACTCGGGTCACTGAAATTCCTTTATTTTATTTTATATTTTCTTCTAAACCTCGTGACAAAATGAAGCAAAGGCCCAGCAAAAGTATGTCGCTACTCACGTATGACGGGCGCCAATGGTATGGCCAATTTCGTGTGTTGTGGAGAGCACGGTTTGCCACGCAGCCGTGTGCTGGGAGTTGGAGAGGCGAGTCGTGCTGACCCCAACATTGAGGGCGAGCGAGCTCACAGAAACGCTTGTACAGACCCCACCCAGGATGTCGCTGCGCGGCGAGGCCTCGATGGCCACCCCGAGGACACCCTGAAGATTCTCGTGGCTGAAGAGAAAATTGAGGCAGTTGGCGGAGAAGGTTTGAGCGCGAGAGCCATTGCGACTGGCCGCGACCAGCCACGTTTGATAGTTGTGTAAAAACGTTAGGCCGGCAACGCCTGCACCGTCACTGCCGCCGTCGCGCAAGTTGAGATTGTGGTGCACAAAAATGGCATTAATGCGTATAGCAAAGGAGCCGCGAAGATTGGCTTCGTCCTGAAAAATGCGGTCCACCTGGAACATGTAGTCGAGCATGCGGGCAGCGGCGAAGATGGCCTGCTGCGACCGGGAACCAAGGCCGCCCCAAGCGGCAACAAAGCTTGCGTCACAGTCCAGGGCCAGGCTGCAGGTCGTTTGGAGGCTGGAGGCGGGACCCGCTCGAGGCGTTCGCGGATGCGGAAAGGACGCATTGTCAGCATTGTCGGGCTCAGCGTAACGGAGGTCATGGGGTGCGGCGTGGAGGCAGTGCTGGGCTTGGGTGGAAAGTTGATCTGTGAGCTGGGCTCGAGTGCGACGCTCTGCTTCAGTAGCCGGGTCGTTTTCCAACTCTCGGGTCAAATTGAGGCTTGTGGCGTCGGCGCGCAGCGCCAAGACGCGGCCACTCTCGAGGTAGACAAAGCCATCAAAGAGGTAGTCGGCGCAAAGGCAGGCATCACGGCAGGTGCGAGTTACGCGAACGCTAGCGTAGACGCCAGCCTGGTGCCGCTCGGGGATGCGACCCGTCCACCACCGAGGTTGTTGTGGGCACGGGTTGGCGGTGGCTTCAACACCATGGGTGAGCTCCTGGTTGTCGGAGAAGACGGCGACGCCCTTTCCAAAGCGGGCATGGGGCTCCAGCTGCAATTCACCGTGAAGTAGGTCATGATTGTCGCCCACGGCCAGACAAACGTGGCCTGCCGGGCATGCTGCCTCTCCAACCACGGCACAGATCATCAACAAAGACCAAACATGAACCACAACGGCGCAAACGCGAATCGGGGCCATGGCTAAAGGTGCGCACTGGCGTCGCTCGAGGACGCGAGTGGCGCTTGGCACACTGAGGGCAGCAAGAATGAGGCGGCTGGAGGTGGCAGCAGGACCACGGCGTTGGGGCAAACGATGGAGAATGAAAGCACGCAGAGGCAGGCACAGGCGCTCTGCGTGCCGTTTTTTCCAAGGAAGCGATACGGGAAACTAAGAAAGGTGTGACCTTTAACTTTTGCGGCAACCGCAACCAGGGAGAGCTCAGCCCAACCTTGAGGGCGAGCAGAGAGAGAGAGAAAGAGTAAAAAAAAGGAGGAAATGGGTGGGCTCGGGCTATTTTTTTTTTTGGCGCAAGGCCGAACACGAAGTGCAGTTTGCACGCGTGCAGGCACCTTGACCTTCCCCGTGCTTCGTGGGTGAGCAGCGCAGTCCAAGCGGCGCAGCGCAAAGACCGATTCCAAGATGGGAGCAGGGAAAAGGCGCCGGCCCAAGGAATTTCGCAGCAGTGTCAGCTGCTCTGCTCTGGTCTCAGACCATTGCGACCAACGGCCAACCTCGATGGCCTACAAAAGGGGGAATGCGCAAGCAGCTAGAACAAGTCCCCGTTGCTGCTTGCTCCCGTCGGTTGGTCGGCAGCGCAAAAGCGGTTGCACTCTACATCTACCAATGCCGGGCAACAATCCCAACTGCACGGCGGATGAGCTCTCAAGCCATGCCCGCATGCGCTGAAAATAAGACGGAGTGTCAGTATGACCTTGGATTCAGTCCTTTGAACGACTCGAATGGCTCTTGCCCCTGTTGAGAGAGGATGTGTGTCTGCGTGTGTATGTGTGGATGTCAGACTGTCTGTCTCTGTCTCTGTCTCTGTCTCTGTCTCTGTCTCTCTCTCTGTGTCTCTCTCTCTCTCTCTCTCTCTCTCTCTCTCTCTCTCTCTCTCTCTCTCTCTCTCTCTCTCTCTCTCTCTCTCTGTCTCTGTCTCTGTCTCTGTGCCTGTCTCTGTGCCTGTCTCTGTGCCTGTGCCTGTCTCCGTCTCCGTCTCCGTTCTCCGTCTCCGTGTCTTATTATGGCCAAGTGCTTGCATGTCATGAGCTTCTTGTTATGGCTACCTTGTTACGGCTGTGGGAATGCCGATGGCAATCAGACCTGCACGTACACCTGCTTTCCGTTCCCCGCAATCTTACACACGCCTTGATACCCCTCCCCGTGTAGCAGCTGCGCATTCGGCCATATCCATCAGCTTGGATTCAGAGCAGCTGTGCAAAAGAGCTCACCGGCCCTCACCAATCCACTACATGGTCGCCGTGCTGCCTGGTGGTGGCGGCACGGAATTGGCCGGGAGGAAATCAAAATAGGACTGCACTACTGTCCGCCAGGCCTTGACGATGTCAGCCACGGTCTTGTGGGCTTCCGCTGCCGACGCAGCGGCCCAAAACTCGGGTGCCGCCTCTGCCACCAGTCTAAACAGCTTGCTGCGGCCCTCCACCAGCTCGGGTGCTTCCATGTACTCGCCCAGGCGCCTATGCAAAACGGAAACAGCATGGTCAGACATGTCTGAGGCAGCCCCACACACAGATATGCACTCGCGCTACTGGGCCCGCAAACATACTGCTGCCAACGGAAGCGAAAGTTCTCGTGGGCTTTAAGGTTCCGAATCTTGGCAAAGTCCACCTTGCCATCCTCGTCAAAATAGTCGGCCTTCGCCACAAGATAGATGAGAGCCGTCGAAGCTATGAAGCGATGATCAGCGTGCGTAATGCACAGATCCAAAATTGCCAGATTGTACTTGCCCGCGCGCCGCACGTTGGCCACGTGAAAACGCAGCAAGCATTTGATGTAGGTGCCATAAGGCACGGCCACGTCCGCCTTGCCATCCGTCACGGGCAAGTCTGGATCGTCCAGCAGCAGAACCTTGCCGTCTGCCCGGGACTTGCCATACCCCAGGCCCAGGAGCTTGTGGAAAAAGCGTTGTTGCAACAGCTTCATGCGCTGCATCAACTCCTGCGCCACGTACAAACATGATGGTATTGACATCGTGAAGTGCAGACTATTTACTACCCACGCCAGGTCAGAAAAAAAAAGGGGGGGGGGTGGGGGAGGGAGGAGCGAATTGCTGACTCGACAACATAGACGGGCACAAAAAAAATTGCAGACCCAGGCACAGCAAGAAAAGATTCGGACGAAATAAAATGAGAAGCCCTGAGTCGGCTTGTGCGACCTCTTAGCGCAAAACATACGTGGATCAGCGCCATGGATGCATGCTTTTGCTTGGCCAGATCGGGCAAAAACTGATATGGCGGCAATAAAGAGTTGATGGCCCGCAGCAAGTCATCAAAAGCCGGCATGACAAACCGCTGCGGGTCGGCCGACACGTCCCACTGCACCTGCTCCGGCTGATAGCCAGAGAAGATCAGCATGAGCAGTACTGGGCCCCTGTACGACCACCGCAAGTGCGCAAAGCGCAGTGAGCCAGGGCCATTTTCGAAGCACCATTGTGCATTCCATTGCCTGCCTCTAGACCTGTGAGCCCAGAGCTGGTCAAGACCCGACGGTGATGCGGCAAACCATGCCTTACGCTTTGAATTTGTCGTTGTAAAGTCGATGCAGGCCATCGTCCACCTCTTTGAGCGAAGAATGAATTTTGGACTTTTTACGTCTCGGTCGCCCCGCGGCAGCATCTGCGGTTGAGGTTGACCCCAAGTTGAGCGCACTGGGTATGCTCGCGTCAGGGCCTAGACCTGCGGACATGGGCATCTGCCCACCACCACCACCAGCAGCAGCAGCAGCAGCAGCACCGGCGTGTGTGCTGGCCACGGGTGTGGTAGGCTCGGCCAGTAGCTTTGCCAGCAAGGGAGACAGGTTTTGCAAAATGTCCATGGACACTAACATGGAGGACATGACAAGCTGGCGCTCCAGGTCGTTACCCGTCAGAAGCAGGCCCAGCCGCGTCGTCAGCGGCATTCGCAACGTCTTGAGGATGTTGCCTATCAACCCGTCATCCAAGCCCGTGTGCTTGAGCAGGAGTCGGAGATGCTCCTGGTTGGCCGTGGTTGCCGAACCCAGACGTCCCGGAGTTCCATGATGACCGTGTGTGTGCGGATGCACATGAGCATGCGCGTGCGCTCCATGTGAGCCCCCCACCAGCGCATCGGACTGCCCTGGCGCCGCCGCGCCAGGCAATTGAATTCCGTGATGCGAGCTGGCCACTACATCATCATCAAAGTTGGATGTGCTATCATCATTCATGCTCGCCCGTGGTACTGTGCCCCACCGGCAAGCCGCGTGCTCAATCAAGCCGTGCGCTCAACCAACGTCTCTTGTCCTTGTCCTTGCCCCGCTTCCAACGGCCGCGGCGAGAAGAGCCTTTGGACCCTCTGAGCGAGCTCAACGTCGATGTAACGGTCAACTCAACTCAAGTAGTAGGTTCCCTCCCAAGCGCTTGCCAAACAAATACCACCCAGAGACAAACACTGAAATGCGCTCAAGCTGAGAGGTGAATCGCAAAAAGAGGCAAAGAACCAGAGACAAAGAAGACAAGTGAGTCAAAAGCGTGAGATACAAAGGCAAAAATACACGATTCAAGAGACGAGTCAGAAGTGGAAAATCTAATAGAGACAAACAAACAAACGGGCCTTCAAACAGAGAGACACACCCCAGAAAGCTCCTTACCACACACACACACACACACACACACACACACACACACACACATTGAAGGGGCGGGCAGTGGTGGGTCGGGACGAATTGGGCTACGGATGCATCGCGCCATACGTTGTTGCTCACTCACTACCCAACAAAGTAGAATGCCAAAAAAAAAAAAAAAAAAATAAACGGGACGGCACGGTCGGTCTGATCTCAATTAGGATCTTGCACGGGATGACTCTTAAGGTGTTGAATGGCAAACATAAGATGTTGATGCCAGAAAAACTGTATGAGGCTTTAAGATGCCAACAGCTGCTGATCGACGCGGAGCATGGGTGAGACTTCTGTTCCGCCGACCTGGTCTTCATCAGGTTGGGCCAGCTGAGGATCAACATCTTCTGCTCTTGGGTTCGGAGCAGTCTCGGCTTTCGCCGTGGTCGGTGACGCGGCCGCCTCTGCATGGCCCGCGATTCCCGAGGGCATCGAGTCTGCTTGGGAAGGAGACACAATCACCCCAGCTGGCTTGCCTGTAGATGTCATTTCCTCCAATGGCAGTGTGGTGGTCGGCGGCGTTTCCATTGAGACAACGGACAGCTGCTCATCGCCCGGTGCAACTTCTGCCTTGGCTCGCTTAGCCAACGGAGCAAGTTGACCCTCGCCCCCCGGACCAGAATCGCTCGCATCGCCCGAGGCCTCCTCGGTGGCAGAGGGTTGGATGGCTACTGCCGGGTCATCAACAACCACCTCTGCCTTGATCCGGGCCTTTAAGGCTTCCTGCAGCCGTCGTCGGTGGGCTCGAACCTCGCGCTCTAATTGATGCGCCTCTTCCTCCGCATCCAGCACTGCCAGCTCAAGCGCGGTGGCATTGGCATTAATCTCCACAACTTGGTCATCCATGGCCGCCTTGCTGTGCTGCAAGAAAGAAGGCAAAGGAAATTGGACCAAGTCCTTGACGTTCAGGCGGCGAGGATCGATAGACCAGGAAGAAGGTTGAATATGGTGCAAGCACTGCACCAGCTGCTCCAGCACTTGCTGCCCCAGTTGAGCTCGCTCGCCAGTCAGCAACGGCTCTGCCTTGGGCCGGACGGGCGCGGGCCGCGCCACCTCCTCACCCGTGTCGTTGGGCCCCACCGTGGCGGCATTGGTCAGAACAAACTCGGAAGGATCTGGCAGGACACGATCCATGGGTGGGGTTGGTGAGCGAGCCGGTAAAAAGGGCGCGCGGTGTGATCGCAGGCCACCATTGGCTACGTGGGACTCCCACGCATTGGCAGCGTCGGCGGCCAACAAGACAGCGCGTCGAAAATCCCGCATTGCTCCATCATTCTCCAGCCCTGCTGCCACGTTCCCCTCGGTTGCGCGATCGGCCAGGTGAAACTCGATGAGCTCGCGATGCTTGCTGGAACGCAGATGCATTTTGAAGGCCCCTATATAACACATCAGCCCCAATCAAAAGACGCCAGTCGAGAATGCACGTATGGACTAGACTGGCTCACATCCAGCGTTGCATTTCCGCGCGCGAGCATTCATAAGGGCAAGCTGAGCAGGTTGAGATGCTTACCGCGATCTGCCAAGCGCTTCTTGCACACGGCACAAAAGAAGCTGTGTTTGGTGGGTCCAGAGCTTGCCCCGCGACTAGTTCCGCTCGAATTCCTGTCTGGCACTTGGGCGACCGACTGGCTGCTCCCGCGTCGGGATGCTGAGCGGCTGCGCGAGCTCGTCTTGATGCTACTGCGCGCGACCGTCGCAGCTGCAGCCGTGGCCGCATTGGCGCCATGGACGCGCACCGTGTGCATGTTGCGGGCACGATGATTTCGAAAAGTCCGACTGCACACCGTGCACGATACGCCTTCATCCTCGTCCGCGCCGTCAGCCGGGATGTCTTCGGATTCCGGCGCCAAGACGGTCGACGAGGCATCTGAGACCAAAGTCACGGCGGATGGATCATCATGCACGTCATTGACCTCTTGCGGTGTATCAGCCTGATTGCCGTCGTGCTTTGATGAGGCGGAGATATCGGCAGAGGTTACGGAGCTGCGTGAGCTAGGCATGGGCCGCGGCGCGGCACACGCAGCACAGGCCTCGTTGTTCTCGCCGTTCTCCATAGTACACTTGGGGCACACCCACGCGTCCTCCTCGCCCACAGAGCGGCTGATTTTGCGTGATTGCCGTGGTCGCATGGCGCCACAGGTTGTACAGGCCAGCTGGCCACTGTTGACCATGGTACAGCGCGTACACGCCCACTTCTCCGTCTATTTGGGCAGGCAACATGCAAACACGTGAGAGAGCGAGCGAGGCCCAAGGGAATGGGGGCCACGGAAAAGAACCAGAGGGGGGCTGAGTGGCACGGCCCAGGGTGACGCCGCGATGCTTATGCAGACAGTACCTCGACATCAGGACAAACGCTTTTGCGGCCAGGATGATCAAAGGCTAACTTGTGTACTTCCCCCCGTCGGCGGCGGCGGCGCGCAGCGGCAGAGGCCTCATCATCAGCTTCGGGCTTGCCTTGATCAACCGTCGGCAACTTCAGGCGCTGTTCACTAAAGCCTATCCACTCATCATACTTGGAACTCCAGCGAACAAAATGGACCAGTACGCGCTGCTCTGCAAGGTCAACCTTTTGCACGACGGCAGGCAACCAGTTGCCCAAGTAGTCCATGGCCGTGATGCGGCTACGCTTTCTGAGTTTGCGCAGAGCCTGGAGTGCGGGGTCTGGCAAGGGCAGGGCCACGTGCTTCGGACGGGGATCACTGGGCATGGTCAAGGCGGCGTCTCCAGTTGAAGTAGTTGAAGTTGAGCCTGCTTGGGAGTCGGCTACATTTGTTACCGTGGCGGGAGATTCCAATGCCGCCTGGGGCGCTGAGGCATCGACTTGAGAAGCAGCTCCACTGGTGGGTGCCGAGGAAAGCGGCGCCGGTGGGGCTGTTGCTGGTGGGTTGAGGGCCTCGGCTTCGCGCCGAGCCTCTTCCGACGAAAGCGTGCCGCGAATGACGTAGTAATGGCCATCGCGGTGGAGCATGGCATTGCGCACGTGGGGACCTGAAACTCTTTGTAGCTGTGAGCGCGGGATGCCCGTGGTGCGCTGCACAGCAGCTCCAGGAAGGCCCGCTGAATGGGTTGAAGGATTAATTGCGGGTGTCACCGGCTTGGCTGAGGTCGTGGCTGCGGTCGTTGTGGCGGTGGTAGCAGACGGTGTGGTTGTCGTGGGCGCCGATGGCGTGGACGCCGTTGTGGCAGGCATTGCCATGGCGGGCCCGGGCGGCTTGAACGCCAGGCTTTTGGCAGAAGGAATGGTCGCAGAAGAAGGACTGGTCGTTGCGGTGGCTACCGATGTGCTCGTGGCTGATACATCCGCAGTGCGGGTAGCTTGCGTCGAGGAGGAGTGGCTTGATGGCAACCTTTGCGATTCATGCGCGGGCGATGTGTGGGTTAACACAAAAGAGACGAGATATGCAAGACATCAAGCCAAGATTCGCCAGCCTGGCCAAACAAGAGACAACTGCATGTGGTTGCAACCGGCGATGCGCAACGTACGTATTGGAGGCTGGCAAGTTTTCGGCAGTTGGCCTTGGCTGTTGCGTGCCTGCGGCGGTGGCGTGATTGCTGGCATGGGGATGGGTCACTTGGCCATGAGAGGACATCACCTCATCACGGGAGGTCAACTGGGACGCGTGCGAGGGATGCGCCTCAACCGGGGCCCATGAGCGAGCGGGTGGCCCCTGTGATGGGGTCAGACCGCGTTGACGAGCCTCCTCTCGGATCTTTTCAATCAGCTCGGGTGTTAGGTGAGACAGATTAAGCTGGGGTGCAGCAGTTGTGGAGCCGGATGGGACGTCTGTAGGAGCGCCGCGCGGGTCGTATCCTCTGGGCGCGGTCGGCAATGGAGCCCCATCAACTGGTTGCCTATTGTTTGAAGCACGCTCGTAATAGCGAGGCTGGTGCTGGTGCTGGTGCTGGTGCTGGTCACTGCCGCTTGGCGGCGGTGCGTACGGGCGCGTCGGTCGGTGCTGGTGAGTTGGCACACGCGCCCGGGGATCATGGGGGCGTGATCCATGTGAGCGCTGCTGATATCCGTGCTGGGTCTGGGACGGCGCTTGGTAAGGCGCGGGGCGATGATATGCCGAACCTCGGGCTGGGTCGCCGAGGAGCGCCGGCGATGGCCGAGCTCCCCTGTCAAAGTCGGAGCGAGCATGGTAAGAGCCGGGGCGGCCATCACGGGCCGGCGGCTGGAAGCGAGGTTGTGGAGGTGGCTGCCCTCGAGAGGGCGGCGGCACACCGTGCCGCCCGTTGGCCCACATCCTCGCACCGGCTCGTCGTGATGGTGAAACACACCACTTTCAGGACCGGACGGGGGTGTCTTACATCAAGAGCCGTCGTGTGGGTGCTCGTTCTCGCCCACCCGGCCAAGGAAACCCTGGCCCCTGATCACAGACACTGGCATGCAAATACACGCCAAGCCCACATTCACCGCCTCAACAAGGGTCCAAACAAGCCCCAATGCACGCGCCCTTGGCCCCAAGGTGTCCAGCCAGCCAGCTCCAGGCACCCAGAGAGAAGAAGCAGCCGCTTTGAGGCTCAAAAAAATTGTTTCTCTCGATCGCTCGCACTGACGTCCTTCTTAAAATCATGATCCTCTATTTTTGAATTTCTTTTGCTCTCCACACACACACACACACACACACACACATGCGCGCGCTGTCTCTCTCTCTCTCTCTCTCTCTCTCTCTCTCTCTCTCTCTCTCTCTCTCTCTCTCTCTCTCTCTCTCTCTCTCTCTCTCTCTCTCTCTCTCTCTCTCTACACAGGGACGTAACTCAAACTATGGCTCGGTTGTATTTATTTTCTGGGAGGGGGTCGTGTTGCGCGACGGAGGAGGTATTGAGAAGCAGGAGGTGCTGGAAAGGCTCAACTCTTTGCTCCTTCAACGAAAAAAAAAAAAGGAACCCCCCTAAAAGGAAAACTCCCCAAACACACACACACACACACCACTCTCTCGCACGCAAGCAAATTGATGCACAGGCAGTAAAAAAGGTGAAGGCCATGGCATTAGGTTTGAGGTGGTAGCTGTATGCCCGTGCCATGGTGCTGCTGGGGCGTCGCAGGACCAAGGTGGTTCCCATTCAATGAGGTCAGCTCAACCAGCTGCGCACTGGGCGTGGGGACAGGCAAACCCGCTACCATCTGGGCGCCATTTGCAGCCACGGTGCCCGAGCTTGGTCCTTGCATTCGGCCCATACCTTGCTGTATGGCCGCGGGGGCATTCAGAGAAGTTGCAGCACCCAGGCCATGAGCGGCAGCAATCTGCTGGCCATCACTCGAAACCTGACTTGAGTTGCCGTGATTGGTCTTGCGTGCATCTTGATGAGCACCCACATCAACGTGGCCCGTCCTATCGCCGTGGCCATACAGGGTGGTCTGCCCGGTACCGCTGGCACCGTCGCGTCCGCCTTGACCGCCTACATCAGTAGCCATGGTGCCAGCGGCACTGTCCTCGTCCTGGTCGTCGCCGGTGCCTGTACGGTTGCCATCAGCAACACCGCCGCCTTCACCCTCGTTATCACCATCGCCATCGCCCTCGTTATCACCATCGCCGTCGCTATCCGAAGCGTCGTCCTCAGAGTCGGACTCGACGCTCGTAACCGCGTCCACGCGGAGCAATAGACCATGCAGTTTGTCTAGCTCTTGATTTGTCTGGGTGAGGATGGCGCTGATGGTAGCAGCATCCAGCTGATTGACAGCTTGAATCAGCGCGTCTTTAACCTCGGCAAAAGAGCGATCAGGTCGATAGGAACGACCAACGGCGCCCTTGATATGGGACCATACCGCTTCCATGGGCTGCAAATCTGGGTAGTGCGCAGGCAGGAAAAGAACCTGGTGGCCAGCGGCTTCGGCTTTGGTCACGGCGATGGGGTGCACGTGCTCCTGAATCCAGGCACTCAGGCGCGCCCAGATGGCGCCTTTGGTCTCTTCTAGACTTGCATGAATGCCACGCTCCTGGCACGCATGGACTAGTTCCTCCTTTTTCATGCTTTGCACCGGCGTGCTGGGGGGCAGGGCCTTGTGATAGCGTGCCGAGTCCATCACAATGACAGCGTTGTGCACGCCCAAGCTTGCCAGTTCGGATAAAAGGCGGTCCATCCAGTCAGCAAAGAGCGCTGGAGTAAATATGGCGCGATAGTCCTTGGCGGCCTTCTTGCCCCCCTCGAGGATCTGCAGCGCACCCCGCAGCAGCTGCGGCTGGTGGATGGGTTGACGGTCTGGCTCTGGAATGGCGGGGTCGGGCCCCAGGATCGCCGCCAACAAGCAGTAGCGACGACTTTTGGCTGCACTCGCGCGCGGCTCTGCTGTCAGATCCGACGCTTCGCTCGCCTGAGAACCGGCACCTTGATCATGAGGCACAAAGCTTTCGTCCAGGTAGACGATGCGTCGCTGATGGCGCACGGTAAGCATGGAGCCCATGTAGTGGTCTCGCTGGGGGGCCACATGCGGCTTTTCACGGTAACGAATGGTGCCAGAGCGGCGACTGCGACTTAGGCCCAGGTCGTTGACGAGGCGCTGCACGCAGCGTTGCACGGCCAGCCGCTCCTTGCCACCAACATGTTGCAAATAGGCTGGCAGAAAGCCTTGAGCACACAAAAAGCCGGTGACAGTTGCAGCCACCACACGCTCACCGCACGCTTCCTTTTCATAGAGCCAGTTGCGCAGAGCCACCCGTAGCTTTTTGGTACGTGGTAGGCGCCGGGCTTTAAAGCCCCGAGGCCCCGTGCTCACGGCGGAGGTGGGTAGTCGGCGCTCCGTGACAAAGGCTTTCCAGGCGTCACCGCAGGTGTCCGTGCCACGGCCCAGGATAGCGCCCACCTCACGAGACCATAGGTGCTTGGGGGCCCGTTCCCCCTGTGCCTCGGCTTGCCATGCCTCGTGGCGCAGGTGCAGCTGCAGTGAAATGATGTCGAGGAGCTCAAACGGGGAGACGGCTCGTTGGAGTTTTTTTCGCTGGGCGCGCACCCACGCCTTGCCTTCCTCCAAAAAAGCGTCGTCCACAACCACAGCAGGCACACGCTTGCGCGCTGGCTGACCACTCGTACTCGCTGCTGCGCTGGCCGTCCGAACTGGAGCTACCGATCCGCCGTCAGGTAGGCCTGTCGACCCCGTTGCCGCCGCGGGCGCATCCCGTCGGACAGCCGCTGCACTGCGTTTGGGCGGCATGCCGTTCACCACGATCACCAAGACCCCTCCAACCAAGCCTGTCGCAGGTGAGCTAACGTTATGGTCACGTTAAAACCGCCGCAGCCACTTTCACATCCACCCACAACACCCGGCCGGACAGCTACCAGCTCTCAATCGTCCCAGCCGTTCCGTGCTCGACGTTTCGTGCGATCGTTGCAAAGCAGCGCCGTCGTCGTCGTCGTCGTCGTCGTGTGTGTGTGGTAACGGCTGCATTTGAAAAGTCTGACATCCACACACACACACACACACACACACACACACTTTCATGTATACACACTATACACACACTACACACACACACACACACACAGGTTTTAAACTTTGCTACGGGGTATGGATGATGTGAAGAGGTGGACGCACCGAGGCCGCTCTTGCTAGGCCTTGGGCTGATGTCAGTGCTGGTCAGTGAGAATCCCTTGTCCTGTCGCCTTGTCGAAGTCTTCGCGGGCATGGTGTGAGAGTCTGGTTTCATTCACATTCACATGTCGATTAGTTGAATTTTTTTGTTGGACGTTACAAATGATGTCGCGCCTCGGCCTGCGAGGCTGACCAAAACAAACACGCGCGCACATAGCACGCACGCACAGAGAGAATAACCACAACAACAACAAAATCGAGAGAGCAGAAACAACACAGCCATTGAGTAGTTTTGATGACGTGGTGGGCCACCCACGGCCAACAGACCAAGAGCTCAACTCGGGAAAATGTTGTGATTGGCCACGCGGACTGGTGCGGGTTTGTAGGGCTCGGCATGCACCTTGTGGCTAACGTCGCTCTGCTCGTGAACGGTAAGCTCGTGCTTCATAAAGTCAAACTTGGCCTCGGCCAGGCGACCCGAGGCGTTGCAGCTGGCGTAGAGGGCATCCAGATCATCAATGGCGGCCCGAACATCTTCCGGGGAGGGCACACCGCCTGCCACCGTGTAGTACATGACTACGGTCACCGTGCAGGGCGCGGCCTGCCGCTTGGGCGCTTGAGTCGTGAGGCCAGCCCAGGTATCAACGTGCGAGCCGCGGGACACGCGCGCGGCATTGGAGATACCAGGCCGCATGAAGGCACCGCCACGGCCACCCCGACCACCCCGGCCTCGGCCAGCACAGCGGGCACGAGGCTTGGCACAGGATGTCATGGAAGAGTAACACAAGGTCTCGGCGACCGCACCCTTTTTCATCTTCTTGAGGCACGCGGCAGAACTGATCATCCCGCGGCGTGGTTGAATGCGCGCCTGCTCCAACGGCACCTGGACGGTCATGAGCACGTTGAAGCGGGTGCCCATGGCTGGGACGCCAATCACACTGGCGGTCGCCTTGCCGCGGTCCAGGGCATCGGCGCGCTCGGCCTCCGTTTCTTCCTGTGCACCGCCAACGGCATGCTCTGAGCGCTCAGCCTCGAGCCAGTAACGGTGGATCTGGCCATCGTGATGGGCGTGATGAAAGAGCTTCTTGGCTCCACGTCCGTCCTGTTGTACGGCCGTGCCTTGGGTGGTGCACAGCAGCAGGAGATTGCGGGGATCGCTGTCGGCATGTGTGTTGTAGTTGTAGGCTTCGGTGCAAAACTCGAGGGCCCCCCGCTGGCTGGCATCGTCCTGCACTGGCAAAAAGACGGTCTGGAATCGAATTGAGACCTTGTCATCCACAAGCGCTGCGCCGAGATCGGTACCTGCCGGTACACCGGCATATCCACCAAACTCGCTGGCGCGTCGCAAGAAGGTGCGGAGGGTCACGGGCTCCAAGACCGCGCCTCGGGCGCTGTCACTGTCGTGGTGGTTGCCCACGAGCAGCGCCACCTGATCCGCCGAAACAACGCCCAGCTTTTCGTTCCAGTTGTCGGAGCGCAGCGTGTATAGACGGCGCCCGTCCTTGGCCCAGAGGCGCGTATCGGTAATGTTGCCGCCGATGCTGGACAGTCCCCCGCCCACAGTTCCACGCTGCGCGTCATCCCACGAGACATTCTTGCAGCTATACCCGCGCGGCCGAGCTACGGCATCCAGCGCCGTCTGAACGTCCTTCATCGACATGATGGATTGTTTGATCGCCGAGTCGTGCCACCGTGATCTGAATAAGCTGATCGCAACGGAGAAGGAGAGAAAAATGCGCTCCAGTCGGTCCGCGAGTGCCTGCACATCGTTCCCGATCGTCCGTGATCGTCACTAGCCAACTTTGGCCCCCGCCCATCCCATTGTCAGCATGACGCGCCAAAGTTGGCTCACATAATACTTAAGAGGGGTGTATTGACAATATAATTAAACGCTCACTGTGTTCGTTAATTTTAAAATTTCGAGACACTTTTTTTTTTTTTTTTTAACGGACGTGCGTCTCTCTCGTCTCTCTCGCCGCTCTCCGCTCTCCGCTCTCGGCTCTCGTCTCTCCTCTCGCCTCTTGCCTCTTGCCTCTTGCCTCTTGCCTCTTGCCTCTTGACTCTTGCCTCTTGCCTCTTGCCTCTTGCCTCTCGCCTGTCTCCGCTATCCGCTATCCGCTCCCCTCTCTTTTTCGCCCCTCTCCTCTCTCGCTTGCCTGCCTGCTTCTCTCTGTTCTTCTTCGCTGGTTTCTTTTTTTTTTTTTTTTTTTGCACCTCCGTCTCTCTCCTGGGTCTCTGAAGAGCCTCATATAGTGGTCTGTCTGGCTGTCGGGATCAATTCAACATAGAGGTGGGGGCTGGATTTTTGAGGTCGCCATCAACATGGCACGCCGTGTCAACTGGCGCAAGATCGGTAGGTGTCCGACTCGTTTGCTCTTGTCCAGCCACTTCCATGCATGTCTACCGCAGTCGCTACTATCCTGCGCCTCATCCACAACGCACCCGTACCTCTGACCGATTGCAATCAGGCCTGGTGGATGTCGACGCCCTGCGTAGCAATGGTGACATGGGCCCGCTCCAGGAGCTGCTGGAGAATGTGACCTTTTGCGACATCTACACCGAGGACCTCGAGGGCGTCGACTTGAACTTTATCAAGCTCTTCCGCCTCGCCCAACTCATGCTGGAGCACATCCTTCACAAGCAAGAGGACTTGCTGCACCAGCTTCAAGCTCGCGAACAGGAAGTCGCCCACCTCACCGAGGTCAATTCAAGACCTTGCCCTCGCCTTGCGCCCACACCCACCCGCAGCTCAGCCATTATAACCGCGCTGCTGAGAAACGGCGTGTCTTTGATCTTGATTTGTTTTTCTGTTGTTTTTATCTCGTGCTTTTACGTGCATGTAGGAGGCTGCGGCCGCTCACACTCGGTATCAGGAGGAACACAAGCAACATAAGACAGTCAAGCGCACGCTCAAGGCTTTGCAGAGCTCTGTTGGTGCAACCCAGCAAGGCAATGCGACGGTAGGCCACCAATCTCCGCACGTACGCGCCAACCGTGTGTCTCAGCCCGCGCCCGTGTCGACTCACTTGAGGACTTGTCTGTGTGCCAGTGCCAATTTTGCGGCAAGATTTTTGCTACGCGCCCCTTCTTGGTTGCTCACATGCAACGCCGCCACGCCGAGTACGGCCCCTTTCCCCTGATCGACCCGAGCGCTGAGGATGAAAATCGCCCGCGAGGACGCGACAATGAGACGCACTCTGCCGCTGCCACCAACAAGGCCTTGCAAGAGCTGCAAGAACAAGTCCGGACCCTTCACGAGGCCTTGGCCCGCCAACGCGACGAGGCCGCCCGGCAACTGCAACAACAGCTGCTCAATACCACCGTCGCACAGCAAAGCTTGCACCAGCCCTCGTCCACCGACACGGCTACCAAGGACCGCCTCACCGAGCTGGAGCGGCAACTGCGAGACGTCCAGCAGGAACATGGCCGACAGCTGCAGTGCGTATACCACGGGCCCATGTTCAGCAACCCATCGTCTTGCCCCGCTCAACTTTTTTCCCTCCCTCACGGCCATTGTAGACAAGTTGCACGTGATCAAGAGCGTGCTGCGGACGAGCGCGTTCGCAACTTGCAGCGACAACATCAGGTTGTCACCCCATCTCGCTCCCTTCCCCGTGATCCTCTGTGTCTCTGATGCACGGCACGTCTTAATCGTGACGCATCTCCTTGGCAAAAAATATAGGACGAAATGCTTCATCTCCAGAAACGCTTTCAGTCAGAGATTGATGCCCTGCGCGAGACAGCCAACCGCCCCGTTTCCCGACACCTTGAAGTGTGTATCGCCAGATCTAGCTTGATGCACGCCCCGACGACCCTCATGACGGGCGAGCACCATGGCCTGCGCAACTTAACCCACAGATCACGTATTAAAAATGTGTCGTCCGCAGGATGCCACTTTGTTGGCCTCGGTAGCCTCACCACGCCACCGCCGCACCGTGGCCACCGAGCAAGTCGACGAGAGCAGTGACAGCGATGACAACCGTCGACACACGGCCGGTCGCTCAGCCAAGGCAGCAGACCAGCAATTGCAGCAACAAGTTGCCGCCCTACAACAGCAGCTGTTGAACCAACAGTCGCAGTTTCAACAGCAGCTGGAACGACAGGCAGCACAAACCCAGGCCGTCCTTCAGCAAGCCCGTGCACCCACCGAGGTGCTGTGATTGTGTTCCTTGCACGAGCGCCGGCCTTCGTCAATGGAAACTTGGGCTATCACACGCCAACCGCTGACCCCACCCTTGTCCCGCTGCCCCGTCACCCCCCAGGCGCATGAGCGTGGATCCAGCTCTGAACTGACGCAAACGCTTCTGCAACAACAACAGCAACTGGCTTCGAATCTCAATGCCTCCCATCGACAGCGCGAACAAGAGTTGCAGGTGGGTTCTCGGGATGGGTTGGAAACTGCATGCCTCGCCGTTCTTCATATTGGTTCTTGTTGGTTTGCCCATGACTCACCGTTTATATGGGCTCTGGTAGACGCAACTGCGCGAGCAACAGCGGCAGTTGACAACCATGCAGCGCAGCTTGGCTCGTGCGCAGTCACAATCCTTTCTGTCGCCAGATGCACCCATCGCCGCTTCCCGGGGCATGCACCGCTCCCGCACCTCACCAAACCTGCCCGCGGTTGTAGCAGAGCCCACGACACCCGCTCGTGGTGATCGGAACAAGTCGCCGAGCGAAAAGCCGCGTCGCCCACCACCCCCAGCGGATGTACGAGGGTCGACCCCGAGCAAAGACCGCGAGCCCCGGCGGGCTCGCTCTCGAAGCGCATCAGCCGGTGTGCAACGCACTCGCTCCGTATCCCCACCAAAACGCGGTCGTGCTGATGATCGGCAAGGACGCAGCCGTCAGCGCGATGCAACCCCGAGCCGCGATCGACCGCGCATGACCATGAGTCTTCCTCGCATGCGTCTGCCGTCCTTCCTCAAGGGTCTGCGTCGGCGCACCGCAAGCACGACTGATGTGGGCCGACGTGAGCGAGAGGAGCAAGAACGGCAAGCCACCACTTACTTGGATGATGTTGATTGGGTGTCCCGCGAGAAAGTCTTTGAGGCGCGCCACGCAGTTGTGGGCAACATCGAGCAACGCATGGCCCTTCCCAAAGGTCTGTGTGCATGTATCTGCATTGAAATTGTGGGTCGTTTCAGCGACGGCATGTGACTGAGGCAATTACTCTGCTTACCTGTGACATCCCATCTGACCCGTCCTCTGCAGACCAAAATGCCATGAAGCGGTCTGACTTTGAGTATCGTCTTGAGGGCTTGCCAGAGCCGATGGGCAATCGCGCCGAGATTCGAAATGACATTCTGCGTGATCTCGACGAGTTTGTTCGGGTTTGTCTCGCTTGCTACGCTGCAACAGACGGGAAGAAAGAAGAGAAACTAACGAAAGAAAGAAAGAGGGGGAGAAACCCAAAACAGGTTTTTTTTTTTTTTTTTTTGTTTTTTTTTTTTTTTTTTGCCGTCGCCACCGAATGTTTTTAAATTTCCAGCCATCGCACCCAAGCGCGGCTTGCCTCTCAAGCATGTTGTTTTGTTTTGTTTTTCATTATTGTAGGCCACGTATGAACCGACGATTGTTCCAACCACGCTGGCTGCACCGGCCGTGCTGCGGCTCTCCCCCGTGCCTGCCTCGCACTCTGAGCCACGCGATACGGTAGCCCCGATCATCGTACAACCCGAGCCTGAGAGTGCCTCGACGCCACGCGCCAACAGCGGGGGCTCTTGGGGAGTCGAGGACGATGACCAAGATATCGACGACGCTCAAACCGTGACCCGCCCTCCCAGCACCATGCCCGCCACCCTTGTTGTTCCCAATACCAAGGCAGACCTGCCAAGTGACGACTACGAATGGGACTCCTCAGACGTATCTGCCCTAAGCGACCCCCCTGTGGATCATGTCCTGGTCCCCGGTACGTACGACTTACCATGCCCATGCCATGCACGCCTTGTGGTCGTGAGAATCACTTGCGCCTGTGGCGCGGCATGCTAACCTACAACTTTTCCGCTTGGACAGCCAACACTGGTAGTACGCCTGCTGCTAGCCGGATCCAGGCCACAACAGTTGCTGCCGCACCTGCTGCTTCCGCCAGCAAAACGCCGGGGCGCACCACGAAACCCCCCGTGGTAAGGCGATTCGCCCGACTCAGATGACAGGCTCTTGCAGAATGGTCGAGGCAGACTCATCCTTTGTTATTCGTGTGCCTGCGGTGGGTGGCTTGCAATCGGATGACAGGGTGGACGAGCCATTCTGCCTGGGGCTGCAACGGCCTTGGACGTGCAGCAGGCACGTGCATCGCTCAAGCCACAGAGTTCTATTCAATCCACCGATTTCAACCTTTCTTCGGATGGGAGCAGCGTGGTCGAGCTCGGTGACCCTGCTCCAAACTCGGCCCTTGCCCAGCCTCTCGACGATTCATGGGACTAAGCTGAGCGCGTCGCCCACAAGATTTCAATGGAGCTGTTGATAGAAACTTTGACCTAATTATTGCCGTGCAATGAGTCTGACGGCCAACCTCACCACCCCTTTCCTGCTTGACGTCCTTTTGCTAAAACTTGCCCAAACTGTCAGTTGAGACACCAAACTCTTTTCCCACAGCATGTCTTGGCCCAGATTTTCCCAGGGTGCAGCCAGCGGCACAAGTTTGGCATTTCATTCAGCACTCGAGACAATGAGTAATGGGATTAAATGATCACGAATTTTTAAAAGTGCGCAATGTGGGCTCAAAGCAAAAACTTCATTGCAGCATCCAGACACACAAAACTAAGAGAGAAGCCAGGTTTCTCTTGCAAAAAACTTGAGCGCCGAGTCACAAGGTTGCGGCCTGTTTTTACAAAAGCCCGATCGGGGGGCGCAACAAACGCTCCGTGGACCCAGTAACAGGCGTCTGCCGACTTGTCCTTTAGGCCCTCATTCACGCATCTGCGCCCCCTTTTTCGGGACAGCCTGTGGCCGAGGAACGCATCACTGCATCACGTTGGCTTCGAGGGGAGTTGCCTCGATCCATTGCACGACCTGCTGCCGAGTTTTGCGATTGCAATCGGGCTGGGCAGCACGCAGCAGCAAGGCTTCTCGTCGGTGGCAGTGGATGATAAAGCGTTGCTGGCGGAGTTGGGCTTCACCAAAGTTCACCTTGACCTCGGCCAGTTCCTCGGTGAGGATGGCCTTTGCGACGCGAAGCTCGGCGAGTTCCGAAAGGACGCGGCGCTCTTCAACTTGACTAAGGCGGTTGGCCTCGCTATCGTCAGCGTTGGCGAGTTCAGCAGCCAGGTCCAAGCCCCCCTCTTGGTCGCAAGGTTCATGTGCAGTGGCTCGCGCTTCAGATAAGCGGGCTCGCGCCTCATCGAGTTGATCTTCAAGAATGCGATTCAGCTCGCGGGCTTCGCGTAGTTGGCGATTGAGGTGTTGCTGTTCTTGATTGGTGACTTGCTCAAGATACGCGTGAAGCTCGTCAAGCTCCTGTCGAATGAGGGCTTCGCGTTCTCGGACCTCAGCAAGCTCAAGTTCGAGGCTGAGTGCATGAGCGGCCTGATCGTTCTGAGCCTCCTGAGCATCCAAGTCAGCATCGGTGGCATTGGACACCGGCGTTGATCGAGCAAGTTCCCGACGCAGCGCCTGAACCTCGCGACGGTGCTGGTCGGCTTGGATGTGGGTATCAGCCAGTTGACGCCGCAATACATCCAATTCCTTCTGCAATGTGTCCATGTGATCGTGGTAACTCACGGCGTGCAATGCCTCTTCGCGCGCCTGTCGCAGGTCGACATCTAGACCGACAAGGGTTGGATCAATTTGCATGCACGAGCCGATCTGACTTGCGGGACACGCCAAGCACACGTACCCTCGAGATCCCGGCGGCGGGCCTGCACAACTCGCTGTGCCTCGGAATCGTTCCCCAGCAGAGCATCAATGTCCTCATCAGCATGCTGGAGGCGGGTGTTGAGAAATCGAACCAGGGCCTGCAAGTGTTGTACGCTGGTACGCAACTGGTCAATTTGCTCGTGACTGTCTGTCTGCTGCTGCTCAAGGTCATCGCACACATCCTCCAGCGCCGACTTTTGATGCGTCAACTGAGCGTGTTCATGCTGCAACTGCCTCAACGCATCCAAAATATCCATGTCCTCCATCCTGCCCAGTCGTATGCCCTCACCCCGGCCTTGTCCGCTCGTCTCCCTCTTCCTCTCCGTCCCTCTCCCTCTCTCTCTCTATCTCCCCAGGTCCAAACACCGCCCAAACATTCGCAACCTCGGCGCCACCGCCAACAGCTCCAAAAAAAATTCAAAAGAAGTTCAGAGAGAGAGAGAGAACCGTTTGGCAAGCAAATAAAATCTGACATTGGAGCTGGAAAGGTTATTACCACCTGACATTCTTCTCTCCGATTTTTGCTGCCAACCCATTTCGTTTCTCCTCTCTCTCTCTCTCTCTCTCTCTCTCTCTCTCTCTCTCTCTCTCTCTCTCTCTCTCTCTCTCTCTCTCTCTCTCTCTCTCTCTCTCTCTCTCTCTCTCTCTCTCTCTCTCTCTCTCTCTCTCTTGAGTTTTGATCAAAGTGAGTCTCAGTAGCATCTGGCGGGACGATGGCAGTGGCAGTGCCGCGCTCCCGCGCTCCCTCGCTGGCCCTCCCGCTGCTCACTTGGATATGAGAGGGCAGCTTTGATTGGACTGAGCTGGGAATCAGATGGGAGTGAAACATTGGGGTGGTTGTGACAAGGGGAGGGATCGTTGCGTGCGAGTAGCGTTAGACTGATGGTCCAGTCTCGGTGGCAGCTGCTCCGTGTGCTCGTCCTCGTCCTCACTGCCTTTGCAACAAGCTAACGGCCCACCTGCTGCCTTGCCTTCCTTCTTTTATTTTTTTAGATTGTACCCGTTCGTACCCCGACATCACCATCAATATGAGGCTGTGCCGCTTTGAGCAAGATGGAAACGTGCGTTGTTTGGCTACCCCCACTGCCACTGATCACCCATCGCCCATCACAATCAAACTGTTCACTCACCCCATATCGCCTCGCCTCCCTCTCAGGTTCGCGTTGGCGTTCAGCGCGGCGATAAGGGGGATATCGTCGACATTACTGCCGTAGACAACACGATCCCCAACGACATGCTGGCCATCCTGCGCGGTGGTGCCGACATGATGACCAAGGTTAAGAGGTCAGTGGCATTGATCGTCATTGATCGTTATCGACCTCTTCAACTCTGAGCCACCCCGATCAATTGTTGCCGATGCTTTTCGGTCAGAGAGCAGCCCCTCTTTTGCAAATGCCACCACAGCCCTAATCGCTGCTTTTGTCATGTAGTGCCTCCGAATCGACGAGCTGCATCGTGCCCGCCGCCTCGGCCAAGATCCTGGCTCCGATCACGGGCTCCGAAAAAGTCCTCTGCATCGGCATGAACTACGTCGATCACTGCACGGAGCAGGTACTCGCGCTCTCCAATCGGGCCGTTAACAATGACTTCCCGCATAATCACTTGGGCCGCCTCTGCCCCACGCACGCTCAACACCTCTTTTGCTGCTGGCGGGTCGATGCATCCTTGCTTAGAACCTGCCGGTTCCGGAAGAACCCCTGATCTTCTCCAAGTTTGCTTCGGCAATCAGCAACCCTGGTGATGATATTGTCAAGGCTCCTGAAGTCAAGGTCCGCCGACCATCCCTGCGCCCCACTCATTGGCAAATGCCCTGGCAAGACCATACATTTGATACCCCACTTCTGGTCTCTAGAACTTGGATTTCGAAGTCGAGCTTGTCATTGTCATTGGCAAGGATGGCCGTCGTATCTCAGAAGACAAGGCCATGGAGCACGTGGCTGGCTACACCGTGGCGCACGACGTGAGCGCGCGTGACTGGCAACTTCAAAAGAACGGCGGCCAGTGGTTGGTTGGCAAGGCTTTTGACGGCTATGCCCCGATTGGCCCTGCCATCGTCACGACCGACGAGCTGGGCAACCCCCACAACGTAGGTCACAATGCAATGCCCAAACTGTCTGCGTGGCAATCCCGTTGAAAGCAAGGCGTCGTTTGACTGTCGGCTCATGGTGCACGTGCCCCTCAACTTGCAGCTGGGCATTCGCTGCCGCCTCAACGGCGAGACCGTGCAAGATTCCAACACCAACCAGCTCGTCTTCAGGACCGAGACCATCATTGCCTGGGCTTCCAAGTTCTTCACCCTTCGTGCAGGAGACATTATTCTGACTGGCACCCCCCCAGGCGTTGGCTGCTTCCGCAAGCCCCCACTCTGGCTCAAGGATGGTGACGTTGTCGATTGTGAGATTGACGGCATTGGCTGCATCACCAACACGGTGCGCGATGAGGTCATTCCCGCTTGAGCGAAAATCGATTTGCTCTGAGACCCTTGACCAGGGGTCCTTGGCCGTTGTTTGGTTCTTCTTTTTTTTTTTAAGTGATTGGGTGGCAATTGCACTTTGGCCTCCAGCCTTTGAACTGCGCAAAATTGTGGTCGCCGATCATTCCTCCCACATCCCACATCCCACACACGCTCCCGCACGTACATACACACACTATCATCGCTGGCACACAACCAGAATGCCCATCAATTGAACAAAACCAGAGACGGCAGAGACCCCACCATGCCAGTCGGTGGATGGACAAACAGGGCATGCAAGCCATATTACTTGCTGCGCTTGGCCTCGGGCTCGGCAGCGGGATCGCGAGCTTGCGCCGTGGGTTGTGCCGGTGGCTTGACCTCGTGCTGCACGTAGACTTGGTTCAGCTGCAGCGATGGGCGGGCATAAGTCACCGCAGGCATGTGTGAGAGAACAAACAGGAGCAGAGAACATGCACAGCTGGACACACCTGCTGGGTAACGCGGATAAAGGTGGTGCGCTTTGAGATTTCCTTGAGCGTACTGGCACCCACATAGGTGCATGAGCTGCGCAGCCCACCCAGCACGTCGAGAATGGTGGCTTTGATTGGGCCACGATACGGCAGCTCAATTGTCTTGCCCTCGGACGAGCGGTATTCTGCCACTGATCCGTGATACTTCTTCATTGCAGTGTCACTGCTCATTCTATGGCATGATAGAAGATCAACAGCTTTGTGTAAGGACAGGACCTGGGTTTGATCAAAAAACCGACAAGAGCGGGCCGAGCGGGCAGGAGAAGTCCTTACCCGTAAAACTGCTTGTAAAACTTGCCATCACGCTCAATGAGTTCGCCGGCACTCTCGTCATGGCCAGCCAGCATGCCTCCCAGCATGACAAAATCAGCACCGGCTCCAAAGGCTTTGCTCACATCGCCTGGGCAAGTGCAGCCGCCATCCGAAATGACCAGGCCGCCCAGACCGTGTGCCGCATCTAATCAAAAATCAAGAATCGAGTGAGCAGGGCGCACATCGAATACAGACAGAGGAAGGGAAAGGGATGATCGCCTATGGTTGAGCTTGACTGGATGCAACTGCCCAACCAGAGCGCATTGCCACAGTGTCATTGCCAAGACGAGGCACATACCGGCACATTCGATCACGGCACTCAATTGCGGATACTACGGCGGAAAGAAAACAGAACAAAAAAAGCGACAGTGAGCACGCGCAGCGCGACACGCGAGCAAAACTTCTCCAAAAGCCTGTGACGCTGGCCAGACAGGCGTTGGAGCAAGGGGAAGGTACGTTGGCGGGACCACGTACCCCGACGCCGGTTTGCTTGCGAGTGGTGCAGACGCTACCCGGACCAATGCCAACCTTGACAATGTCGGCTCCCGAAAGAATGAGCTCCTCGACCATTTCCTATCAACGATTGAAGCCACGGTTGAGAGAGGCAATTTTGGCCAGATCAAATGTGGGGTTTGAGGTTGGGAGCGGTTGACCGACCTGCGTGACCACGTTGCCGGCCATGATGGTTTTGTTGGGGAACGCTTGGCGAACGCGGCGAACAAATTGGACAAAGGCTTCGCTGTAACCGTTGGCCACATCAAGGCAGATGAAGGGAATGTCTGGGCGGGTCTTGAGCGTCTCGCTCAGGCGCTCAAAGTCGCTGTCAGAAATGCCCGAGGACACGGCCATATGCTTGACCACCTCGGCTGGCTGCTCCACCCACGCGGAGCTGCTGTAGTGCTTGGAAGCCGCCGTAATGAGACCCTGCTCAGCCAGCACCGCCTGGGCCGCCAGCACAACAACGGATGAGTGGTCAGGATTTAGCTCAACGTGTTGGCACACGATCTTGCATGGTCAACGCACAGCAGTTTCAAAGGTGCCCGTGGTGTCCATGTTCGCCGCGATGATTGGAACGCCGGTCCATTCTTGCTTGCTGTGCAAAAACTTGTACGTGCGTTCCAGCGTCACCTCGGAGCGGCTCTTGAGTGTCGAGCGCTTGGGCCGGATGAGCACGTCCTGCCAATGAGCAAAAGTCAGACAGGGGTTATGGACGGCCATCGGTGAAGGCAGGTCAGAGTCGTGTGCCATCTTCTGCCTTGGTTGCCAACCGTGAAACCCTCACGCCTTGGCAACGGCCGCAGGGCAATATCGCCAACCTCACCTTGAAATCGAGCTTGATATCCTCCTCGATCCGCATCGCGACGGTCCTTTTGTACAATCACAATCGTCAACCAGACCACACACCCACACGGCCACCGACGTCGACGGCAACCACCACCAGCACCACCCCCCGTCACTGACTCGACTCACGTCGACACTGCGACACGAGGAGAGAAAAATGCACACACGGAAAAAAAAATGGAGAGAAGTCACCAGGATGCGAACGCAGTGAGCTGTTTTTACTGCTGCCACTTTTTCTTCCCATTACGACATTGCTACCAGACGTGATATAACAGCCCGTGGGTTGCAGCAGTTAGGGTGTTTTTGTCCTCGAAAACTCGATGCAGGTCTGGTAAGGTATTAAGGTAAGATGTGATTTTATATGCAATAAGTACAATGGTATCTACATCTTCTCTGATTAAGGCTGACAAAGCGCGAAACGCCCCCTTCAAGTTTCCAGCCGCTCGCGCTCTCTCTCTCTCTCTCTCTCTCTCTCTCTCTCTCTCTCTCTCTCTCTCTCTCTCTCTCTCTCTCTCTCTCTCTCTCTCTCTCTCTCTCTCTCTCTCTCGTATTGTTCCGCTGTGTCAGTCGACGACAAACGGCAGCGCGCGCGTTCGGTGTGAAGGTGCCGGTCCAGCTGCAGTTGGACGTGGGTGCCCGGCATTGGTACCTGCGTATGATATTGATTAGGCCCTGACGAGGGCTGTAGCCAGTGCGTGCCGGATGCGGTCCCGGTCAGCACACGCACATTAGGTATTTGCTCGTGCAGCTCTCTCCGCGCTCACTGCCACCCCGGCTGCGGACCATCCCTTGTGACGACGGCAGCGCGGTCCGTCTTGATACTCGGGCAGTAAATCGGGACACCGTGACCGTGCATGCAGGCCAACCGTCCTGCGATCGAGTGACGTCGAGCCCAGGTCGTGTTCGCCATGGCCGAGGCCGCAGCGCGTGCCTCGGGCACGCTCAAGCAGTATCAGCTCGATGCCGTGATTGATGGCCAAATCTCCCCCGAGAAGCCCGAAGTCCTCTTCAAGGACCTTGAAGCCGTAGGCCATGGCGCCTATGCCGACGTGTTCAAGGTGAGTGGCCCAGCCCTGCCAAGCCGCTGCCATTGGACGCTCTTGGCATCGAAGTACCCTTTTGCACTGCCAGCGCCTGCGCGCTTGACTCAATACGCATGCCCGCCAACTCCATCCCGTGGACGCCTTCCGTCAGGCCCTGGATTTGCGCAACAATGAGGTTGTAGCCATCAAGAAGTTTAAGAAAAAGTCCCGCGAGGTTTGGCTTGGACCCGCTGACATTGATGACCCCGTAAGCGCGCCCTTGCAACTCATGCCACGTCGCCCATCTCGCGTTTACCCCACAATAGGAATTTGACGACATTCTGAAGGAGATCAAGTTTCTCAAAGGCATCAAAAGCCCCCACCTGACCAACCTGAAGGGGGCTTTCTTCTCGACCAACAACAAAGTTTGGATCGTCATGGACTTTTGCCAAGGCAGCGTCTTTGACGCCATCCAAGCCCTCAAATCACCGCTCTACGAAGCTGAAATCCGTGACATCAGCTTCAACGTCCTCAAAGGTCTCGAGTACCTTCACAACTCGGAAAAGATTCATCGCGATATCAAAGCCAAAAACATTCTCGTCAGCGACAACGGCGTTGTCAAACTTGCAGACTTTGGTGGGTCCTCATTCATGCTTGAGCCTTGTCTTTCAACATAAATCACCGCGCTTCTCACCAGGCAATGCCCATCCGCAACTTGCTTCACTGCAGGTACTAGCGCTGATCTTTCCAAAAAGGACGGCCGATGCAATTCGTTTGTCGGGTCTCCCTACTGGATCGCCCCCGAGGTCATCATGGCTATGGACACGGGCACCTATTCCTACCCGGTAGATATCTGGTCCTTTGGCATCTTTGTCATTGAGATGGCCGAGATGAACCCCCCTCTCTTTGAAATGCAGGTAAGCCCCAATCCGTCTTTTTGGCCTGCTGAATATGCTTCGAGTCGAGCACCCTGTGTCGAATGCGTGATGGTTCCATTACCACCCCTTGGTCAAGCCCTCATTGCCCACCTCGGTACCGCATTGCATCCGCCTTGTTTGTCTGTGCTCCGGCAGTCCATGTCTGCCCTCTACCACATCCCGCAACGCGACCCCCCCACCCTCAAAGCAGACACGTGGTCCACTGAATTTCGTGCTTTCCTCGCACGCTGCGTGGCCAAGGACCCGGTTGATCGCGGTACCGCTACAAGCTTACTGGCCGACCCATTTCTTACCCAGGCCCCCCAAACAACCCAACACACCATCAACAACCTCATTGTTCGGACTCTGGCTGCCGTTCAAGGCCACACCCAACCGGATATTTCCCGCATTGCAGAGCTCACAGTCAACGCAGGCGCCGCCTCGCCCGCCGCAGAGACCGAGGCGTCCAACAACGACGAGCTCGAATCTGTGGCGGAAGAAGAAGATGGCGCCGAGTCGGTCGCCGCACCCTCTCTCAGCGCCGAGCAAGAGGCCACTGTTCGCGCTCAAAAATACAATACCCTCAAAATGCCCACCCGACGCGCTGTGGATGTCAAGGAATCCAAGCTCAGCGTCCTGGTTGAGGGCCAAATGAAGGCATTGCGCAAGTTGCAGAAAAAGCTTACAGACGAAAAGAAACTCCTGGAGAAGAAACAACGCATTGAAGAGACACAGCTGCGGCGCCGCCTCAACGAGCAGGTTTGGAACTGCTCGTGTCCTGATTTGGCTGTACTTCTGCTCTTGTTTTGGTTGTTTGGTTTTTGGTTTCCTGGCGTTGTTTTGCACCGTTCTTGGCTGCTTTGAGGTTCTCACGAGCAGGTCTTGTGTTGTGGGTGAGCAGCTGGACGATCTTCGCCGCATCCATGACCGAGCCGAGTCCATGTTTGCTCAGGAGCGCGAAAAGGCATTATCTGAGCTCCAAACGCAGCAGCAGCGCCAGCGCCGAGTCCATGAAAAGGATGTGGACAAGTTTGCGCGTGAGCGAGAAAAGGAAAGCAATCGCGCCATCCACGACCGGGCAAAAGAACTTCAAAGGGCGCATGAAAAGTTGGCCAAGGATGAGCGCAAAACCCGCAAGGACGAACACAAGCGCGACAAGGCCACCATGGAGACTCGAGCCAAAGACGACTTTGAGGTGCGTTGCCATCAGCAGCAGCCAATCCGCCATTGCAAGCTTGCTACGCTTTCACACACACACACACACACACACACACACGCACACACTGACTGCGTGCGCGTCTTGGCAACTTGTCAATCTTTGTTGGCTCATGCTTCTCCACTTGCGTGCGGATGGCTCATTCCATGTCTCTCCGTTTGTGCAGGCGAAAAAGGCCACGTATATCGCTTCGGCCAGTAAGGTGTTCCGAGCCCAGCAAGAGATGGAGGAGGCGCAGCTCAAGCACAAAAACCTCACCGATGTAAGTCATGCTGCCTGTGAGGGCTGAACTTTGCCACGCGCCCGCGTCATCAGTCACCTTTATGCGCTGGCCGTGCCCCGCACTCGATGCTTACTCGCCTTCGCCTCGTACAGGAGCTTGACATGAAGGAGAAGCACTTGCGAGAAAGGATAGAACTGGCGGCCGCGAACAAGACGGGTGATGTGCATCACATGATGAAGGAGCACCTGGAACAAAAGCACGTGTTGGAGAGCCAGTATCAGACTGAGCGGCACGCTCTGGAGAAGCAGCATCTCGACGATGAACATGATGCGGCCCACGAAAGCATTCGCAAGCGCCAAGCTACACAATCTCGTAGCGCGGAGAAAAAGCTCAAGAAGCTGAGTCTGTTTGATCCCGAGGTTCAGGAGACCTTTGAAGCCAGCACACGCAATGTGCCCGAGCTGCGCGACCTGGACGACCGCAAATCCACTGTCGATCGGGCCGAAGCAAAGAAGCTCGACAAGCTGAAGAAGGAGGGCCTCAAGGCCGCACGCTCGGAAGTCATTAGCATTGGTGCGTGGGGTCACCTGCCCGCTGTGTCCGGTGGGGGGATTACGGCCTCGCCTCGCGTTCATTTTCTCATGTTGGTTTCTCGCATTTGTTGCGCTATAGCTACTGTCCGTCTGTCGGAGGAACAACTCAAGGAGATGAACCGACTCAAACGACTTCAGGCCGAAGAGGTGGCCACACTTGGTCGCAACCAGGCCGCTCAGCGGGAGAACATGGAGATGGCCCACCGCGCTGCCATGGCTGAGCTTGACACTCGAATGGAGCAGGAACGGGATGCCGCTGATAAGTACAAGGCAATGGAGTTGAATCACTTTCTTGCAGCGCGCAAGGATACGATTGAGCGGGCCCAGGCAAAGCTAGATGGGTTGGTTGAAGAGCGCACCGCCATTGTTAATGAAGAGCAGAACCGCATCTCCAACTTGGGCGCTGAGTGGCACTTGCCATAGTTGCTGTCTCACGCTGCTCCTGGGACCGGTGGGATGATCAAGTCCCTGTTGCCTGCTTTTTGACTGTGGCTTGTCTTTCTTGACTTTCTTGTGTGTACATTTTCATCTTTCATCTCCTGTGCCGTTGTGGCCACTTTGTTGCTGCTTCATCTTGCTCGAGACGATGGCTTGAGTTCCCTCCCGAGACACTTATCGAAACAACCCAAACTCTCTTTTGATCAAAAAATGAATTACTCTGCTGCTCTTAACGCGGCATTAATCGGAAGTCAAAAACAGTGTTTCTTTATGCCCCTTTGCCTCAAGCGTGGGGTCGCGAGCCGTCGGAAGGAAACCTGATACGGTTGAGTACCAAAACCTCCGAAGCCGCCGGTGGTATGTTAAACGAGTGAGATGCGCGCGCAGTCCACGGCTGAGCCGGGCGTCTGAGCGAGGAGAGCCGCTTCCCGGTGTTGCAAGTCCGTCTCCCAATTGCGCAGTCTTTCTTCCTTGGCCTGCAGCTCAGCTGCCAGTTTATCAAGGCGACCCTGCTTATGACGAAGCATAGCAGCCCGCGCCATGTTGAAAAAGGTAGCCTCGACCTCGTTGCACGGCTTGCGCGGTGATAACCCGGTCTGGGCGGACGCTGTGCGCAGCGATTCTGGCTGGGCCACAAGCTCGTTGTTGCCATTGAGATCAAAAGGACTGAGCGGGGCGGGGCTGCCGGGATCTTCGTCCAAGATGGAAGCATTTGTTACGAGGGTATCAAGATGGGCAGGTCGTCGGCGGGGAGGTAAGGACTGGTGCCGCCGCACCTGGCGCGGAGATATGGAGGTGGGTTCGGCCATGGACTCGGTGTGATGGTGCGCAAACTGATCACGGCGTGAGGTCCGAGGATTTTCGAGCTCCATCAGGGCGGACTCAAATTGATGACGCAGCATGTTGGAGCTGGGTCGCTGGGTGTGTTGCTGGGCAAAGCAGCTGGCAATAATTGTGCGCAGACAGGCGGGCATGCTCGAGGGGATGTCTGGATGCATGTTACCACTGCCGAGCTTAAAGGTCACCGTGAGATTATTACTATATTGCGCAAAGGGCATGCTCTTGGCAAAGAGTTCGCAAGCAGTCACGCCAAAACTCCAAACATCGGCGCGGTCAGAAATGCACTCGGAACGAATGAGTTCGGGGGCCAGATAACGGATGGTGCCTCGCACGCCCGGCAGACTTTGGTCGCGGGATTCGACGCAGGCGGCTTCCTCAGTGGATTCTGCTATCATGGCCGTGCCGAGATCGGCCAGTTTACAAACGACTGATCCATCCTGAGAAGCCATCAAAATGTTCAGGGGCTTGACATCGAGGTGCAGCAGCTTGACGGGGGCCTCGTAGTGGAGGTACGCCAAAGCTGAGCCAACCTCATACAGCCAACGCGCAGCCTGGAGGTGGCTGTACTCGGACGTGTAGATTGTCTCATACAGGGTGCCACGGTCAGCCAGTTCGGTGATCATGAGACAACGACCGGGAAGGGCAAAGCTAAGGCCGGTGCTGTTGGGCCCGATCAGCTCGGGCGGGTCTTGGCCATCCTGTACGATGCACTCGCCAATGTAGCGCACAATGTGGCGATGAGAGAGCATGCAGAGAAGCTCAGCCTCTTCCTGGAACATTTGGTCGTCAAAGAGAGATTTCACGGCCACATCGAGGCCGCGCCAACGGCCAGCGTAGACGCAGCCAAAAGAGCCTTCTCCAAGGACGGTCCTGAGTTGTAGCTCGGTGGTGGGGTAGTAGCGCCGCATGTCGCCAATTGTTTCGATGGTGGTGGTGCTGTTGCTGCTCGTATCACGCCGCCGGCTGCGGTGTTCTATGGAAATGGGGGAGAAACTAAGGGTCTCACGCACGGGGATGGTGATAAAGCCCTCTGATGTCAAGGGTGAAGGCCGTGAGTCGATGGTTGCCGTGTCGGGATCCTCGGTCGTAGCATCGCTTCGCCGCAGCCCCTGCGGGCTCCCAGGCTGCGACATGACGGGTGTTAATAGCCGCTGGCCACCTTGTTCCACGGGCCAACGCCCGGGCTGCGGCACCATGAAGAAAGCAACGCGTGTCCAATCCAAAGCCTGAAGCGGCGCGCGCGGAAGGTTGGGGGAAGAGCACCTAGCAACTGCGTGGGTGCCGAGGCTCTCGGAATCCAAGGAAGAGACGGTCCGGTCCGGACAGACCCGACAGCCACCAAGACAGAAAAGAGTGGCGAAGACTTTAGAAAGGCCTGCACCAGATGCCGTCGGCAAAGCCCGGCGCCGACGCTTGTCAAGGAGGACGCGCTCGCACGGGGCACGGTACCCACGAGGAGCTTTCTCAAAAGTAACACAGCGTACTACGCCCAAAACCGTCGAGGGTTCTTATAAAAAGCGTCGCGGGTTCCCAGGCAAGACGCTTACGCCAGAGCAGGCGGAGCACGGGGGCAGAGCATCACCCAGCAGAAGGAGCTGCCGTTTCCCAAGAGGGCACGGCGAGCAAAATGTGTGTGTGTGTGTGTGTGTGTGTGTGTGTGTGTGTGTGTGTGTGTCTGTGTGTGTGTGTCTGTGTGACAGAGAGAGAGAGAGAGAGACACACACACACACACAAACACACAGAGCTGTACCAATGATGTATACTAAATATCAATGGTTAATGCAGAAATGTTAACCTCATCAAGCTTAGAATCCGTAGAGAGATGTTTAGTTATTGAGGCGACGGCTTTGTGGGTCTCTCTCCTGTCGTCGCGCGTCGTGCTGCTTCCGATTGAATCGCCGCCGCCATGTCGCGTGCACACATGTTGTATGATGACAAGGCGCTGCAGGGTGGTCCGACCCGCTATGTCAAGTGGCCAGCTGCCTACGATCCACAGCGGGAGCTGTGCAGGTATGGATGCTTGCGCCGCTCGCCGCACCGCTTCCGCTCTGCAGCTTGAGCTCACAGCGCTGGTCCTGCTTCACAGCCGCGGCGATGGAATCATCTTCGTGGGCAAGCTTGAAGCCAAGCCCAACCGTGTGATTGTGACCGATCCCAGTGGCCAACAGGCGCGTCGCATGCGTCCTCGTCTTGCCCATCGCCTTGCCACTTCCCCTGCTGCTCGAACAGACTTTCCAGATACCAGACTCATGTTTTCAATGTGCTCCTTCAGGTCCGGTATCTTCAGGTAGAACTGGCCTTTGTTGACGCTCTCTCCCGACAGTTTAAGGATGGCGTTGAGGTAGACGTCGTGGTTTCCAGCAGCACCAAGACTCGCACGGGCCACCTCAACTCGTCGTACACCACAGCGGCGGGACGCTCCGATCGCATCTCCGCCGAATCAGTCTCCTCTCGGATTTACGCTGGCGCTGACCGCCTGCTCGCCAGCAAACCCCGTCGTCAACTGGCCGGCCGGGACCTCTTCAACTTTCTAGGTCAACAAAGTCGCCCCGGTCCCTTCGCACCCTGGTGCTCTAACACGCCAATTGGTGGCGCAAGCAATGCCAACCCCCTTCGGGCTCTGTTGCCATGGCTTCGTCCCGCTTATTCTTGGCGATGATTGTTGGACCATAGGCGATGAAGCCACACTTTTGAAGCTGGATTTGATTCCCGGTGAAGAATATCGCCTGCGTACCCATCGCGACTCGTGCTTCATCGGTGCGTTTGGAATTTCCCTTGCACATCGCATTGTCGCCGTGCACCCGTTCGTGTTCGACACGACTCAAATGAGCCCTCCTCATCAACACCCGCCTGGGACCTTTAGAATCCATCACGAGCGTGGATGGCAGTGTCAAGCACGTCACCAACTTTACCGCTGGCGTAGGCCAAGGCATCAAGGAAGACAGCGCCTCCTGGACCGACAAAGTCTTGAGCAAGGTAATTGATCAGTGCTGTCCCTTGCCGCCCGAGTGAAAGTGATTGCGCCAATCCATGCGCATGCCTGCCTCACAAATCGGCCCCCTGCCTTTTGGAAATCCCAGGCTGGAACGCAAGCCAGTGACCCTCTACCCGGTGCCGATCTTGAAGGGGTTGATGACGACGAGTGGGATGACTGAGTACTGCAGAGTCGCCGGTTGTGTTGGAAAATCAAAAAAAATTGCGAGATACCCCCTTCATTTGTCAATTAAAAAAAAAATTGAGCCGCTCGCTTATACCATTGCCGGCCTAGTTCCCATCGCATGAGAACTTTTGATCTGCTGGCAGTTGCCTCATTCGTGCGGCTGTTTCGAATATCCACCCCAGTGACGTCACTCTGTCCCCGACACGGGGCGGCCAAAGAACCCACGTGCTCGATAGGCACCACGCCATCTTCTAAGCTAGTTGAACATCCTTGCCATACTCAAGGGCTAGTGTCAGTGCCTTGGCCAAGGCCGCCTTGCTGGAATACTCGGGCAAACGTAATAGGTTGAAGCTGTATGCCAAGCATCAGGTGGAGGACCGGCAGACGCATGAGCAAGATTGGTACCAACAGGTCAAGCACGTCACGCGGGCACAAGCGAAGATTGCAAAACAAGCCCGTACCAAGTGCTGGCCGTGGGTAAAGGCTGGCCATCCAGCCCGTCCAGCCCGTCCCGAGGTTCTCGCGAGGGATCATTGGGTACACCATGCACATCAGGGTCGACGGGTGCAACGACCTGCGCTGCTCGAGCGGCGGCCCGAGCGTGTGCCGCATTCATATCCGTGGCCCGCGACACTGTAAACGCGCACTGATTCAGCAGTTTCTATGCCAACCACAAACGCGAATCACCACCCACCATGAGCTACATTTGATAGCTGCCCAAAAGTTCCTGACCAAGACTTGCTCCATTCGCTCTTACCAAAGCAGGAAAACCACCATGGGGTAGCTTGGAGCTGCCAGTTGCAAACTGCAGCAAGAGGGCGCGCTGTGCCTCGCTCATCCCCTCGACAAGCTCCCAAAACCACACAATCACGTCGTCGGTCGGCTCAAAGTTACTGTGCATGCCCATAAACACTGTTGATGAGAGTTTCGACCTCTGACACTAGGGCTGGTCATGGCAGTAACCCACCTGTATTCCGTATGGGCGCGCCAAGCGTTGACATCAAGCTGGTGCTGTCCAGCAACCAGCGCTTGAACTTCATCCACGCTTATCAGCCTGCCACCAGACGCGGCAATTACCCAACCATGAACATTACGGCATCACCCTCACGTAAAGCAGATCTGAGCACCAGGACAGGGCAGCCGTACACTTGAAGTTGAGGCTGAATAATGTCACTCCAGCCCTCGCGGAGTGCCGCCACCTGAGCACGAATATCAGTTCCCGCCTTGTGTGCGCACAGAAGTGATACATACTGTGCCTTGTTGACCTGAGGCCAGCAACATGTGGAAACAAGATTGAGTCATGTAAAACTGTCAAGGCGGCACAAACTGAAGCGAAGAGGGCGCACACACCTCAGTCACGGCAATCGAAGCGCCGCGAGGAATCAGCTCCACGGTGGTTTGCTGGCCGTACTCAAACACGTCGACGGCAAACGTCAGGTCCAGACCTGCTTGCTCCACGTCGTGATCCAACAACCACTGGGTGGATTGAACAAATTGAGGATCAAGAAGCCGCAAGTCCTGAGCACCCACAAGAGTTGCAACGGCGCGTGCGATAGAGCCAGTCAAAACGCCATCAGTGGAATGCAGGTTAAGCGCCCTCGTGAATTCACCCCAGCAAGCGTCAGACAAGACAGGCGCCCATCCCCTTACCTGCAATGAGGGCGGTAGGCCCATCATCTGACAAATAAGAACGCGGGAGAGCTGGATACCCGGGGTGATCCTGTGAATAATCGCCAACGCCAGAAGACGGCCGGCAAAGCGGTAGTAGCTGAGGTGATCGGCATTGACATGAGAGCCGGAGTGAATGATAGCGCCGTCTATGGGCACAAGGATGATTCCGCCAAAAGGATGGATGCGTGAGGAAGATGCCTGAGACAAGAACGAGGATCGCCGCCGTGGCCCTGTTGCGCCTTGCAATTGCCTCTGCGTCCACGGAAGCCGCCATGTGTGGGTAGGCATGCACCCACCCTCTGAATCGACGAAGAGGGCGTAGTCGGGATTGAAAAGTTCCTTGCTCAACAGGTTGAACCACTCGCGTACCACACCTTGTCCCTGCATCATCAAATGGGTCAGCACAGCGCGGCTGCACACGACTGGTGCATTGACGAATCACAGCACCAACGACAACCCATTCATACCTGGCCGGCCTCATCAGCAAAAGTAATGTCTAGCGCCCGCTGCAGTTCTAGGGCATCCATGCGCAGCAGACGCTGGCACGAAGAGTCCAGAAGAGCACTGCGGTCCACGGTCAACGTCGGCGAGTGTTGGGCACGCCCGTTGCTCTCGGCGGCGGCCAGACGACCGGGTAAATGCTCTTGCAGCCACTCGAGGCGAATTTGCACCGGCCCTGTTTGCAAAATGTTTTGAAAGTCTACCACCACAGCACATAGTGAGGGTACAATTGCGAGCCGGAAGATAATCACGAGGTGTTTCGGAAGAGCTTTTTGGAATCGGTTTGAAGAGCCAGTCAGCACGCACGGGGTAGGAGGCGAGAGCAGTCCATGATAAAACCAAATTGATGCAGGAAGACACGGCAGTCCTCTTGAATCCACGCTTCGAACAGAGGCAGATATTGGCCGAGCCAGTCTTGGGTGGTGTCGCTGCTCAACTCCTGCAGCCGGTACTCGGAATTCTCTACCAGCCACAAACGACCCAAATGGAAGAAGCTGGCCAAGATGCCGGCCAAGCGCTCCAGATACACGCTGTGTATGGGTGGCGCTACGGGAGCTGTCTCTGAGTCGGTCGATGTTGCCGAAGCTGCTTCCCCCAGCTCGGCCGTCAAGATGTCCATCCAAGAGCCCATCACCATTTTGGTCTGCGTGGAAGGTGCAAACCGCACACGTGCGCAAAAGAGGAGAAGGGAGACAGAGAGACGGGGAGACCGAGAAAAGCCGAGAGTGAGGATGAGGAGATTTTGTCATTGCTGCGGGGCCTCCGGGTGGAATGGGCCATGAGCGAGAGAGCCATTGCCAACCTCCAGCAGGCGACCGAGAATGGAGGCAGCGTGGTGGTGAAGTAGGGATTCCTTGGCTAGCTCGCCATCAAGGCGGAGCGTATTCACAACACCCTCGATCAAGGAGGCAAAGCGCTGAGCTCCCGCCACTTCAATCTGCTGCCCGGACGTGTGGCACAGACTGCTCTTGACCAAAGTCCCATACTGATCCACCAGGGTATTGAGGACGTCCTGGGGATTTGGACGCAAAGGAGCAAGTGCAGGTGAGGCGACAACCCGCACAGGGCTGGCAATAATGATGGTTACGCGCGAACAAAGCTGCACCTTGATAACATTGGGCCCGTGCTGTGTACACCAGAGGGACAGAACTCGAACAATCTATGTGGCAGCGGCGAGCAGCCCCAAATTGAGCCCACAGGCACAAAGATATCGTCAGGCCACTGTAGCCTGAGGAGGACATACCGGCGCAATCTCTACGCTGGCGTCACGAGCGGCGGCCCAAATATCCTTGAAGCCGGCCGGATAGTAATCAAGCAGCATCAGCAGAAGTTTTGGTTCGGGATTTTGCAGGGAGTATTGCATTGGTGTCATGCCCATGCTGAACCAATTCCCCGATAATACCAGATGGGTAAGAGGGAATGCGTGAGACTGGATATCATTGCCGTACCACAAGGACGCATCCGGCCAACAGACGGGTGGCAGGTTCCTACCTGTCAGGCCCAAAGATGGCATGATGCGCCAAGAGTATTTCCACACAGGTCAGCTGGTTGTGGATGCAGACGTGATGCAAGGCGGTGCGCCGATCCTCATCCGTGCCGTTGACATCCATGCCGTTGCGCAGCAAGAAGCGAACCACATTGTGATGTCCTGCATGACACGCTACGTGCAGCAACGTCTATGGGTCCAGTAGGTGGTGAGAGATACGGTGGCCTACTCAAGATCACAGCCGGATGAACCCCGTGTGTTGGGACGGGAAGCGCACCCTTTGGTGGCGGTCTCGGGTGTGGATGTCAAGCCCAGACTTGAGGAGCATGGCCAGGGGTTCGTGGCGACCGTTGCTGGCAAGCCAATGCAGCACCGTAAACCCGACGTCGTCCGTGGCCGTCAAATCTGTGTAGGGTTGGGCGCAGGCAACGGGACCCAGACCGTTGGCCGTGAGCTACCCAGGACCTGAAGAACTGAGCAAATCCTGCCTTGTGCTGAACCGTTTCTGGCCTTTAGAAACAAACAGCCGGGCCGCACCGGCATGGAGTTCTTTGACGAGCAAAGAGACGGTGGCGCTGTGGCCGTTGCGAGCAGCTAGCATAATGGGGGTGAGGTTGCCGACATCGCGCTGGTTGATGTCGCAGCCGCGTGCCGCGAGCAGGCGCAGGCATTGATAAGCACCAAAGCTGGCCGCCGTGTGGCACAGGCCACGCTTGGCTCGGCCGTAGCGAAAGTGAACATCAAGCTTGTTGGTATCAAGAAGGGCTTGTATCTGGGAAGAGCGGTCGTTGAGGACGGCATCCATCAATTGCTGACCAAGCATGTAGGTACAAGGATATGAGTTAGCAGCTATGAGCTTGGCAACCATGGCCACAAGGGTTGAATGCGTTACAAAGAATAACGGGCGTGGATTACGCCAGGCCAACCTGGATGGGATCCGAGTCCGCAGACACGGCAAGGGGCGAGCTGGGGCGACGTCGAAACCAGCTAAACATGATGATGGGATGGGCGAGCTGGGAGGGCGGGCGGTATAGCTAGGGGGTCGAATCGACACCAAGCTGGGGGTCTTCGTAAATCAGCTCCCAATCCCTTGGCTGCGCACAAGAAAAATAAAGGCAGTATACGTGTGGGATTGAGGGCGCTGCTGGACGACGACAGAGTCGAGGCAGGAGGGAAAAGGCCAACTTTGTGACTTGAGGCTCGCACGACCTGTCCCGGCTCAGCCATCCCACCTCTATCAAAAATGAGATAAAACGGCCCACACAGGTACCAATTTTCCACGCGTGCCTCCGTGCTCACCTCCCCATATCCCCTCCCCCTTCTCTTCCTCGAACTAGTTCCACAAGGATCAGCCGGACGAAGCATCAGCCGGAAGAAGCACACCCGCGCTCAGCGCAGCCAGCTCGGTCGACGTCTTCAAAAAAAAAAAATCTCTCTCTCTCTCTCTCTCTCTCTCTCTCTCTCTCTCTCTCTCTCTCTCTCTCTCTCTCTCTCTCTCTTCTCTCTCTCTCTCTCTCTCTCTCTGTGCATGCTGATAATTCAGTAAATGTCTTGATAATGTTGGTTTATGCGGTTTCCAACGACAGCTCGTAGTAACTTCAAGCACCTATTTTTGGGGTTTCCGCAGCGCGCCAAAGCAAGCAGTGTTTCAAGCTTGTTGCCAACTTGGGCACTCCGGCTCAATTGTCAGCATTTGTACGAGACACTATTTTTAGCACCGAGAGAACAATGCTTGCTTGCAGGCAAATCTGTTGCGAGGCGGGGATTTCCTTCTGCGCGCGTCTTGCTCTCTGTTGGTTGCCCTTTTGGTGCCTGGGAGCTGCTGGCTTTTGCCTGTTGATCTTTTCGAGCCTATCGCTTCTGTTTTTCGAACTGGATCGTTACTTTGTCCGTCGCTTTGGGCTGGGAACGAACAGAATCCGCGTTGCAAACAGTCCAGTGCTTTGCCGCCACCATGCCGAGTCATCTCTTGCTGGCGACAGCCCTTGTTTTGCAGGTGCTAAGCGCCACCCAGGGTAAGTTGTTCGTGGGGCTGGTTTGTCCCGTGTGGGCGATACTGCCGATCGCCTCGCTCACCAATCGCTTTCCAAAGGGTCGCTGGTGGCGCGTCGAGATGACGGGATTGCAAGCACGCCCGCCGATGCGCCGGCCTCCGTGGTCAACAGCCAGATTGCCACTTTTACGTTTGAGGATACAGCCGACTTTACGACCACCTTTGCCTGCAGCTTGGATGGCGCTGCCACCGCGCCCTGCACCTCTCCTTTCACAACCGCCGACAACCTGGGCGAGGGCTTCCACACATTCACCGTCGCCACCAACAATGGACAACAGGTCATCCTGAACTGGACCATCGACCTGACAGCTCCCACGCTCACAGTTGCTGCCCAGCCCAACCTGGTGGTGGCGCCCAGCGCGACCTCTATTCTTCGCCTCACCAGCACCGAGCCCGTGGTCTGGCTCTGCCAGCTGGACGCCGGCACTCGTGCCTATTGCAACAATGACGCCACCGCCGCCGGTGTCATGCAGGTCGATGTTCCACCTCTCCCTGCCGGTCGCCACCAGTTTCAGATCTTTGCGCGGGACCAAGCCAACAATGCGGCCACGCCCGTGACCCTGCATTGGTCTAGTGGTGCGCTGCTCACCCCGCGCCGCTGCCCGTACCTGTCCACCATTTCCTGGCCTCAATCCTTACCACATATTGCCTGCCAATGTGCCGATGCGCCTTGCAGACGATTGCATTTCGACCAATGCCTGCAAAGCATCGACCTGTGGCACTGCTCCCACCAATTGCGCCTGTGGCCCAGGCTTCTACGTCGACTTGACCGATACACTCATTTGCCGACGTACGTACGCCACGACCCTTGCTGCCTCGCTCCCCCACTGCCATGCTGTGTGTTTTGTCCTGCCAAGATGTGCTCTCTTCTTTTCTTGCAAGAAGAAACAACAAAAAGTATCGAAGAGAAGGGGAACGAAAAGAGGGTCTGACTTTGGAGTTGAGCATCGGACACGACGGCTAACTGCTACCCAACCTGCGCAGGTTGCACGGATATCCCTTGCTCTGGTAGTGTACATTGCACCAACAACGCCGATAGCACCTGCGGCAATAATTGCCAGTCTTATTATACCGGTGGCCAGAACCAGCTCGCCTGTGAGACTCTCACCTTGTTTTGAGCACATTGCTCGGCCGTCTGATGTCTCCTCTCTCTTTTGTTCCAATCTGATGCTGTCTCATGTACTTGGCCTCGTACTTCTGATCGCCCCTGTCGGCCGCCATTTTGTTTGTTTGTTTGTTCTTTTGACCGCGCTGAGTGCACCCTTTCTGCATTTGTGCGCAAGCAGCATTGGAAAACAATTCATTTTTCTATCTTTTCTCGTTCCTTCTCATTCCGCCTGGTCCGCTGCTGCTCCTTCGACAGAGTGTCCCAAAGTTCATTTGCGCTCGACTAAAAGCCAGCTCGTCATCAAAACTGACCGAACAGATGTTCGTGAAGATGGCTCCCAGTACATTGAAGTTGTCAGCTCAAACAACAAGAATAATCTGAATTAAAAATGTGCGGTCTGGCCTGCACACAGCCGGTCACGACACCCTTGACTGGCCGGGACGGCATCGATACGGCCACGGGCTCTTTTCCTAGACGATCGATTCCAGCACTTCACTCGGTCGCTTTGTGGTGACAGGAGCCATAAAGTCCACCTCACGGGCCGGCTGGGAGATCTCTGATGATGCTGTGGGCGCCAAGGTCTTGGTTGCTGTTGGCTGCGCCGATGACTGCTCTGCGCGTGCTGTGGTTGGATTAGCTGGTGCTTCGTTCACTGCGTTTGGCTGTGACGCGGGTGACACGGCCGACACCGCGGGTGAGGACTCGCTGGCCAGCGACTTGACCTCTGGGAGCGCCGTTTGACCGTCGGCTTGTGGCAAAGTGCCCATCACCAGACCCAAGTGGCGAAGTTGTTCTACGACAGACGGGGCGCGCAGCGCCTGCAGCTTGGCTCGACCTGCCGGAACGGCCTGACCATGGATGCCAACGATACACATGCGATATGTCAAAGAGAAACCAGGGGGGTGAGGCGAGCTCCAAGATTTTTGGTCGGGAATGAGCTGTGACGGAACACGCTTCTTTGCTATTCGGGGAGCCCGTACCTCAAGAACAAGATCGTAGCAACGGGGCTGTGCAAAAGCTTCGACAGCTGCCAAAAGCTGTTCGAGCTCTTCCACGGGTGCAGGCAAGCTAACATAGGTCGTCAAGCAGTAGAGCGCGTCCCGTGGCATGGCGAAGCTATGACCGAGGCACGATCATTCGGATGAGCACGTCAAAGGACTCGAGCAGCGAGATTGTCATGTGGCTCACTTTTTCTCAAGCAATTGGATAAAGCGGTGGACCGCGTGCCGACCGAGCACGGGACACTGGGACAGCTGCGCCTGTGCACCGATCCAAACACAGCAGCTGATGGGATCACTGCGCTCCGTGTTAGTGTGCCCACATGTTTATACCATCGTGCCCCCACAGTTTGAGCAAAGAGGTTATTGAGAAAAAAAAAAAAAAAAAAACAGCCGTCAGCTACCGGCACGTATCAATATGGGCCAGAATGGCGGCAACAGACAGGCTCCAGTGCAATGCTTAAACGTACGGCTCGAGGTGCCCCTTGACCTCCACAAAACTAAGAAACACATTGCAGTTCATAAGACCCGATACTATTCACACTTTGGATGGTCTGCTCGCTGAGCAATTTTCCCACGGGTGCGAAATATACGATAGCTGGCTTGTGTGCGGGCCGAGGTTTGAGTGAATGGCATGACAAAAGACACTTACTCGATTTGCAAGCTGCTTTGACGCCGACGGCTGTTTTTGAGCTGTGGGCGCGGACCACGGGAGGTGGTGCGTCAAGTGGGATGTCAGTGAATAAAATAAACAAGGTCAATGCAGCAGCAGGGCAAGGCTGCGCCGGCGTACCGAAGTCTTGGATGTTGTTGGAGTGATGGGAGTCGCCGGCATTTGTGAGCGCCATTGATAATCGGCTGGGAGTTTGTCAAACTAAGCAAAGCGCTTTGGTGAGTGCACGCACAGGCGCACATGGGGGCCGGGCGGGTGCAGGCAAGTGCACGAGTGTGCTCACGTACATTGGCTTCAAAGGAGTGCAAGAGGTTGCGGTACAACACAAAATCATCGTGCTAGTGCGAGATGAGAAGCAAACAGGGTCAGGCTACAGAGTGTGCAGTTTGCTTGGACCCAACCACCAAGCCTTGTTCCCAGGCGGCGCACCGTAGGATCACCAAGAGCCTGCGACTGGATGTAGGATTGAGCGGCCAGGCCGGCGATGGCTGCGTGTCGCACTTGCAGGGCATCGGCCCGGCCGATCTCCGTAATGAGCTCGTTGATCAGGCTCTATCAACAGAAAGGGGCGCATATCATGGGCGATCCCCTGCCGTGACTGGAATGCCATGCACTGGGTGCGGGCGGCGACCACATATCGCCGGGGGTCACCTCAAAAAAAGCTCACCTGCTGAGCCTGGGTCAGCACCTGACCGCTGAACACTTGCACAACCGTCTATCACCACATGAGGGAAGCACACCAAAAATTCTTTTGACCACCAGCCCACGCGCTCTTCCCACCGAGGATAGCAGGTCTGTCTCCTCTACGGTCTGTGCCCCAGGCGCCGCCATCACTCGCACCTCATCATTCATCGCGCCGGTCTTGACCAGAAAAGTAGAGAGACAGAGACAGAGAGACAGAGAGACAGAGAGACAGAGAGAGGGAGCCAGAAACTGAAACAGGAACAGAGAAAGGCACTTATGATCGCGAAAATGTGTATCAAAAAGGGTAAAGAATCAAGGCAATCAGAGAGAGTCAATACATCGCAACGCAAGACAGAGATTGAGATGAGTATAACAAACGAATCAGAGATCAGCGAAAAACAACATTTGGTCACCTCCTCAAAGGAAATGTTCAAAAAAAAAAAAAGTGTGGCTTTGGGAGGAGAGCCTAAGCACATGGGTCTGCTCCGACAGTCTCCCGCTGGCCCTTGCCTCCACCAAGGCTCCCAGGTACCGCAACCTTGACCTTGGCACCGCCATGGCCTCAAAGGCCTGAGGCAGGTTCTGCGTAGCTTTTTAGATCAATTTGATATGGACGCTTCATAGCTTTGATGCTCGTCCCCTATGTTAATAATTATAACTTAATCTTCCCATCGTGCGGCGGTCTCAGGTTGGCTTCACACGGGCTCGATTGCCCGCAGCGATTGAGCAATCTTGGCGTAGCTATCAGCATTGATGTTGGTGGCTATACCCGCCACACCGAAGCTGGCTAGGCCCCGGCAACGGCGCGACGCAACGAAATAGTACACCCCTGCATCAAAGGCGCATACCGCATCAAGTCAGCATGTCACGTCAACCCTGCCTCGGCACTTTTGCTTGCTCCACAGAGCCACGAACCGCGGCAAGCACTTTGGCGTGTACAGACGGTCTGGCAAGCCTCGAGAGATAGGTTGGCCTGCTCAAACACAATGAAGTCGGCTTGCATGGCTACAGGATCATCCAGGTCAACATGAGCTTAAAACGTCTTGCAGCCCGCATACCCAGAGGAATGTCAAATGCCGATCACCGTCACGTTGCACGCCATACCTGTATCAAAGCGTTGTGGATTCGCCACCCCCGCGCGTTTTCCCTTGAAGAGTTGCACGTAAGTGGCATCGGCGGCTGGTGCCTTGGCCCGGGCAGCCAACACTGTCACTTTGCCCTGCATTCGACCTACGTTGCGTCCGGTAGCCCCCAGCCGAGTGCCACATGGTGGGATCACACCATGCCAGCATGCAGAGCATTGTTCGGGCTCACTGCGTGACCAACCAAACAACTTACCTGAATGGGAGCGACAAAAATACGGAAACACGCCCGGCTGCGTGAAGCGATACGAGAACTGCTTGACTGCGCCGGGCGCCCCGCTGCTGAATGTACCTACGTCCCATAAAAAAATGGATGACCGTAGCTAAACCTGGCTCTAAACCTGCAACGTAGGTTGTGCACACGAAGCCTCTGTGCAGGCATTACACACCATCAGGGTGACCAGGGGTTCCACTTGTAATAGAATGCCGGCCATCAATGACCCAGGTCACTGTCGCACCGACCAAGACAGTGATTTCCGCTGCGCCACACCGCATGCCCAGAAGCAAACCATTAAAAAATCCGTTTTAGACACCTCAAATTTGTCACCCCCGGTCAAGGTGGGCCTGAAATACAACACGCTGAGCCCACCTTGTGCAGGAGCAATGTCCAGATTCCAGGATATGGATACGGGACCTGCGCTTGCTGCCTTGGCTATGGAATGCCCAGCTTCCTCCTAGCGGGGTCATGGAGAACATGGGAACCAAAGGCAGACGCAAATGAGCACCGGCGCCAGCCTTCACGTCCTCGCATCATGGCGTACCTGAGACAGGGAGTCCGCCTCCGCCTGAAAGCGATTCACACAGCGTCGACCCAAACGGTCGGATCCGCTGCCCAGCATGTCTTTGGGGCAGGTCGCCACGCATCGACCCTTGAAACGATACTACGCAAACGTACGTTACCCGGTAAGAGTCGGCTTTGCAAGCCCGGCTTGCATATTGGCGAAATGCCAATTCGCTGGGCATTGTGAAATGCAAGACCCTGCATCTAACCTTGAAATTGGCGCAGACCAGACAGCCGTCCGCTGCGTCGCAAGCACCCACCACACAGTCGGTGCAGCGCGCATCTGCTGCAACGCTTCGCACAGCTGACTTCGCTTTGGTCGTGCGGATGCCGACCACGCCTTGCTCGGCCTTGGCCTTGCCCGCACCAGACTCTAAGATGACGCAGTGCTTCTCATAGTTGCCGTGCCCCGCTATCAAATTGAGCAATTTAGGAGACAAGGGGGTATAGGCCACGGGCCGTGGGAGAGCCCCAAAAGGAGCGTGAGCCGTGCACTAAATCTAAAAAGCGACTCTAGTTGATTGCCACCAAACGCGAAGGGCCTCACCGCCCTTGGTTCCGGTAGGACAAGAGGCCACACAAGATCCCTTCCATAAAAACCTGGCATTGCGGCATATCGTGCACGCGCCCAGTTGCTGGATGCAGACCCAACCACCAAAGCATTGAGAGGGTGAATTGTCTTCCGAAACGTGAAACGAAGAAAGGGACGAAGAGCGCATGCAACATGCGCACCTCGAGAGCATCATCGTAGAAGCACTCATGGCAGTCTCGCCGACAATGGCACATCGCATCTCGACCGGGTCTACCACCATGACACGATTGAGGTGACGAGGCCAGGAAGACGAACATGCGTGGCGCACACATACCTGCATAGCTTCATGGACGAATGCATCGTATTGACAGGATCCGCTGCCATCAAAAGTGCATCGCCACCATCTGAGTTCCGAGGCTGAGTCAAATTGGATTGAGCTAGGCCCACACGCCCAGGATTGTCTAACTGGTTGTGGCGGTCTAGCGGTGCTCCCACCCCCCTTTGCGCGTTGTCGAGACGACCTTGCAACTCAGCAACATCGCGCAACCTGGCTGCCGCTTCTGCTGGATCACTCTTGAGCCCAGCATCATCATCGTCGGTGGCATACGCCAATGCCTCAGCGTCGCCATCGTCATCATCCAAGACTGGATCGTCGTTCAAGGCCCTTTTGGGGATATCACCCAGATCTACATCAGCATCCGGCCAAGCAAGCTTGGCGGCAGTCTTGCTCCTGGCATCCTCAGTCTCAGCGCGGCCCCGATGAGTGAGAGCGGCCGATGGCTGAGCAATTACATCAAGCTGATCCACCGCGTGGCCATCAGGCCTCTTTTGCCGGTATTCTTCGGCTGCCTGCTCGTGCCCACCATGGCGCTCAGCCAAATTCCAATCTACTTTGCTTGGCTTTGCCCCCACTTGCGCGCCGATAGGGAGCAAGGCCGCGGTGGGTGCCAAAGAGCCGCTGTCACTGGTATGCTTGCTCGGCACAGCCATGTTTCCGGCACTTGATTTCGTTCTCTTCTCCACCACTTCATCGAACGGGAAAGCCAGTGGCCCTTCCCCTGTCCCGGCGTGCATGGCCTTGCCAGTTCCTGGATGCACATCCAATCCACACCAGAGGATGAGTGTTGAAGCCTGGTCCAGCCCGCCGCGTCGAGCAGCTCGCCGAGCAAACATGGTATACCTCGCGGCCAGGTCCACCACAACAGGAGAAGGCTGAGAAACACGAGTGGTGAAAGCACAGCGAAGCGGACCAAACGACGCATCTTGATGGTTGGCCCCAGCACGCCATCTGATGTTCAAAAAAGATGCACCATGAAGCCCAGCTGCCGGTACATGCAGCGTGCCTGCTTTGCCAAACTGAGGCGCGCGCGCGGAAGGCGGGGCGTAAAAAATAAAAAGAGAGAGAAGAGGAGCTTTTGTACCAATGATACATGCGTGCGTGCATGCACGTGATCACAGTTGAATGAATTGGGATCGATGCGAGCGAGCGAGCGGTGTCGGCTGTCCATTGCTGGTTCGTTCTCTCGGGTCGAGTGCCTGTGCGTGATGCCTTTCTCACTGGCACATGCGGAAGGCGTTTTACGGGTAGGACTGTGTGATGGGCGAAAGCCAGTCTCCAGTTCTGGGTCCAATTGTCAATTGTTTCGTCTTCGTGGCAGTATATTGTAAGATCTGGCTCCACGGGGGTGACGCTTGCGACAAACGAATTGCGAGCCTCCACCAATTTAAATCACCGCTCCTCACGCCAACCCACTTGCTGTGGCTCTGCCAGGCTTGACCTCTGACATCAGGCACCTGCCCTTCACGAGGAGCTACTGGCCAATCGCGAGCCACCATGACACGAAGCGCGCCGCCATCAGACAAATTGTAACAAAAATTTACATAAAAATATTTTTTTTTAGATTTTAATTATTATTTTTTGCATGTTGTTCGTGATACTTGGGTTGACGGCGCCCTCAAAAGGTTGGGGGGATATCTTCAAGAGACAAGCGTGTTGCTCCACGTGGCATGCGTTGTGGGATCCAAACGTGCTGGTTCCTCGCCGGCCATGTCGTGTTTGCAATTCCGTGCGCGTTTTTGAAAAGCTCGGCTTCTTTTCGCGCCTGTTTCGGTTCATATCTCTTCCCTCATTCTTTCCTGCCTTTTCTCCCGTTTTCCTATAGTACAGCCCTTGGTAACGTGTTCCGTCTAAGGTTCCTCACCACGTGCTCAAACAATGAGCGATCGTGAGTGAGTATGCCTTGTCGGGCGTGCATTGTTGCTCGGGTCGTCAGGTCTGGGCCATGACAACAACTTCGAGGCGCAATGTGGGTGATGCGGTGCTAGCCGTAGCCACATTCTCGAGCGTGACCGTGGCTCGACAGTGCCCGGAACGCACATGGGGCAAGAATGCAGTGGTCGTCGCCGGAAGCTGCCAGCGGTAGAGTACGCGCTCGTTTGCGTGCATGGCTGGCATCTCTTCGCGAGGAACAGTCAGGAGTTTCAACCGCTTTAGCTCACGGTCCAGTGCCGACATGCGGGGTTGTGTGGTACTGCTACCCTCCCAGGCCACCAGCTGACCTGCAGCACAGAGTCGAAGTTGCAGCCAGGACTCCGGTGGACAGGCTTGATGGCAGGAGGGAGCTTCAAAGTCCAGGCAGCGTGTCGTATAGCCGCGCAATGGATGTTCACTGATGTGGCTCGTGTACACGCGCGTTGGTTTTAACAACTCCTTCAGGCGATCCAGAAGCGTGTCCATGGTTTCAAACAGGGCCTGTTCCAGCTCGTCGTCACAAACGGGCTGACCAGTCAGCCAAGATTGCGACGGCATATCTCCCTGTGCCGATGGACTTGCGCGCAGATCAGAGGCCGGCTGCTCGCCGGCCGCTTGCTGTTCCAAGGCCGTCCCGGTTGGCGGGGAAGCGTCAGGCACGTCGGATGCATGCAGCGCATGGCCTTCGTGTGCGATGCTCCCGTTCAAAATTGGCTCTGCCTCGGCCAAACTTGCATTGCTGGCAGTATCATTGTCGACCGCAGCCAAATCGACTGCGGCCCCGGTCGGGGTTGATGCGTCATCATCGTCCTCGGGGGGGGTTGAAGCCTGCCAATCGGACGAATGCGCCATCTCATCTGAGAGGACGATAATGTCCGAAGCATGCCCATTATCGTCCACAAGATCCACGTGGCGATCGACAAAATCGTTGAGGTCGTCATCCGTCAACTCGGCGGTGACCAAATGATCCAACAGCAAAGAGTAACAGCTGGAGCAGGACGTATTGACGTTGCGAAAGGCACGCCATGCCCGCTTGTCCGGCGTGAGAAAATTGTCGATGAGGCGTCGCCGTACGTTGGCGTTTGAATGCATAATGAGCAGCACAAACTTGGTAAGTGCTCTGTGATTTCGCTGGGGAGACGTGAGCAAGGCGGTGCCAGCCTGCTCCAAGATGTCTTCAGAAACGGAGCCCAACCGCTGGAACTCATCGAAAAAGCGCAAAGCGCATTTAATAGCAGACAAGTTGCCATGCGGAGTCCCGGCCTCTTCTTGCAGAACGGTGAGGACGCTGCGCTGAAACTGAGCCTCGTTCTCCTCGATGAAATTGCGGTAGCGCACATCAAATCCCTGAGCGTGTCGCTTGCAAATCTGAGTCAAGTCTTCCAGAAACCCCAGAAACGTGTTGCGTTCATTCCTACTTGAAATCCGGAACCAGGTGCGCCAGAAGGCTTGTTCCACCAAAGGAAAATGGCTTTGCTTCAGCTGCAGATTGAGATTGACGCTCATGAGCTCCTTGAGTCGGCTTGACAGCAAATCATCAATGTGGCGCCCCCCCTGCACCCGTGTCAGGATTGGAACAAATTCTGTGCCCGGACACACACACACACCACATCACATCACATCAAAGCACATCACATCAAAGCGCGCGTATGTGCATGCACACGCAACAGAATCATAGCAGCCAGAATCACAACACGGTACAAGCAAGGCATAGTAAGATGCAGCACCCAAACCCCCCCCCCCCCCCCC